ACCTTCCCCAACCAACCGAGCAATCGCCCGCCAGGCAGCTAGATGAACAAGTGTGCCCCCCCCCCCTGACCGCCACTGCCCCATGCCGCCGCCGCCATATCATATCGCTGCCATTTGTGGTGTGGGGGCTGATGTTGCGCGTGCATGGAATGACGTCATGTATGTCGTGGGTCATGACGCAGATCGAGCGTGCCACCAGGCTAAAATCTACTGCAGCATAAAATTGGGTTTTTGAAGTTTATATAGTCAATCATGAGTTAGTTTATGCAGTTTTCCATCACGTTTAAGCATGGCACGCCGCACAGTCATCTGTGTCCCATGCACGCATGTCCACGCACGTCCACGGCCCATTGTCAGATAAAATTTGATAACATCATCGAACAGAGTGAGCATAACCATTTCGTTGGATGATGTCAGTGTTCACTGCGTTCGTCTTCTGTGCAGTTGGAACCTCCGGCGCGGCGCTGCGGGTGCAGTCGAGTGGCAGCCAGAACTTCTCAGTGGCCAAGAACGGTGTTGATCTCGACAGTGGAGATTGAAGCACTGGTAGGCGCTCAAGCTGGGTCTTGCTTCGTGTCTCGTGGATGAGCCACGCTCCTCAGTACACGACCCTCGCTGCAGCTTCACGGGTAGCGGCTCGCACCAGCCCCCTCTCCTTTCAAAATGGAAACGCTCTCGCGCTGGCTCGGCCTGGGCGGCGGTAGCGGTGCAGGTGCCGATTTTATCGGCACTGTCATGGGCATTGGCAATACCAAACTCACCATCCAACGCGTCATTGCCGAAGGTTGGTTCCCCTCACCCACACCTTCCCTTCTTCTCCACCACCCCTCGCAGACATGATCCATTCCATCCGACATTGTGCGTGCCGCCTCACCGACCTCACCATCAACCCCCGGCCCCCTCAATGCCTCCATCGGACATCCTCACCCCGCGCCTAGGTGGATTTGGCATCGTGTATGTCGCCACGGACGATGCACGCACCAAATATGCGGTCAAACGCCTCCTGACGCACGATCGCGCTCAGGCCAAAGCCGTCAAGGCCGAGATTCAGGCCCTGCAACGCGTCAAGGATCAGGGCGGTCACGAAAACATCATTCGCCTCCTCACAGCCGCCAAGGGCGAGGGCGATCCTCGCCGACAAATCCAGGAATACATGATCATCACCCCCTTTTACAAGGAGGGCACCCTCTTCGCCTACGCCACCGAGCGTGACCGCCGCCTCGGCCTCAAACGCATCTCCGTGCTCTTCAAGCAATGTGCCAGCGCCGTTGCCTTTCTCCACGGCCTCGAACCCCTCATCATCCATCGCGATATCAAGGTGCTTATGCCCCCTGCCTCGGTCCATCACTTTTTCTCTCAGCTGTGCAACTCACAACGTTCGTTTTGCATGCATCCACGACCCCATCGTCTTCATCTTACCCTAGGCAGAAAACTACTTTCTCACCGACGACGGTGATGTCAAGCTCGGAGATTTTGGCAGTTGTACCTCCGAGCGCCTCAACCCAGCCAACATGAGCCATCGTGAAAAAGTTGCCGCCGAAGAAGCCATCCTTCAGGTACCCTCTGGTCTTTTCTTGGACTTTGTTTGCTTTGGCATATATGCTTGCACACAACACACAACACGCCACCGCCCCACCCCCTTGATCTCGCCTGCTCTTTTCTCTCGTCTCTGTATCGAGTCGCTTCTCTGTTTCTCTGTCTTTCCTTCCCGAAGCTGGTGCGGTCACTGCCGCTTGCTGACGCGACATGTGCCAAATGCGCTTGCTCTCAGGTCACGACACCACAAAATCGCACTCCGGAGATGTTGGACATGCATTCTGAGAAACCCGTGGACGAGCGCGTTGATAGTGCGTCTGCATCCGAGTCATGACTTCCTCGCTTGCCCACAACGTGCTACATGAGCTAACCTTGGCCTCCTATCATCCCCGTAGTCTGGGCTCTGGGCTGCCTTCTTTACACACTCTGCTACCGGGTACGCCGAGAAAAGTCCATGTTCTTCCATTTTGCCTTTCTTGGCACCTGTGCCTAAATGACATTTGACATCTGCTGCACTGGCCAATCCACCCATAGAAACATCCCTTCGAAGAGGGCAACGTGCTAGCCATTTGCAACCTCAAATATGATCTACCTACCACCGATGAAAAGTTGGAGCCGTTCCGCCAAGTGATTCGTAAGTCCCCCCTCACCCACTCACTCTCTCCCTCTCAGCACCCCCTCCCTCCCTCTCTCTCTCTCTCTCTCCTTTTCGGACATTGTCCAGCACATTTCCTGTTTTTCTCCCATTTGCTTTTCGCTCATGACATGTTTGCGCCCGTCAACGACCACCGACTGCCACAAACTGACAGAACAACTTTTAAAGGCCGACCCGCGCGATCGTCCCTCTGCATCCGAAGCTGTCCTGCTTGTGTAACCGAATCATTCTAGCCTCGCGTTGTTCGTAGTTTTCATACCCCTTCCCAAAGGCCACTTTTGCCTTGCCTGCCGTTTGGCTCGGTCTCGTCGGCTCGCTTTGCCTCACTGGAGCAGTGCAACGCTTTTCAATTTCACAATTTCGATTCATATCACCTGGACCTCAGCAACACCTCATCTCATATGCCACATGCTCGCACCTCTTTCTTCGCCCGTGTGCCTTTGGTCCAGCCGCCCAAGCTAACAAGGATGGGTGGGGCCAAAAAAGGGGATGCACACCTAAACATACAAAGACACCAAATACATCCAAATAACAAAACTATAAAAGTGGACTGCTTCTTCTACCAGTGAACAAGCGCGGTTGATAAAATATGGCCATTGAATAGACGCTCAGCGCCATTCCTCCCCAACAGCAGCCAACCTGCCCAGTATGTGGCAGGCTCAGAGCTGACTATGCAGTGGCTTCCTCGGGGATCAAAGTAGACGCCGCGCTCTCGACCGTCGGGATTTCCTGGCCCCCAGCCCCCATGCCCATAAACGGAGGATACAAAGACGCGTTGTCCTCATCGGAAAACGCCATGGCTCGCAGATGCTTGCTCACACGCCCAAACGTCCAGCGCTCTGAGGCCTGTGGCTGCCAGCATTCACTAATCACTTCAGCAATCCACGGATGGATACCATCAAGCTCAGGGCGCTCGTGGCGCAAGGCCACCGTCACAATGACAGCCGGCAACTCCATGCCCGCAAATGGTCGCCTGCGACCAAAAAGCTCATACAAAATCATGGCAAAGCTATCAACCCCGCCAGACAGGATCGATGAGTGCATGCCACCGCGTATCAACGAAGGAATAGATGATGGACTCCGGTGTTGCACCCGCACCTGTACACATCCGCTGGAAAACTAGGTGGCTCCTTGTTTTGCATACATTCTGCGCGGCAAGCGTTTACAACATCATTCAAAAACAGTCTGCACACGCCATGCGAATACACAAATGACAAGGAAACTTACCCGGTGCCATCCACAGAAACGTCCCAAATCCTCGTGCCTGAGAGCGGGAAAGCCACAATGACCGGCGTGAGTATCGCGCTCCTTACCCAATCTATGCCTCTTTGGAGCATGATGCGTGTATGCTGGAACCATCATGGCTCATGGCAGCATGGCTCAACGCATCATGACTCAATACATCATGTCACAAACCCTCATCGTGCCGTAAACTCTTACCGTCTGACAAGCATCGTGGCGGAGCGCGCTGCCAAAATCGCAAATTTTTGGAACCAAGGCGTCGAGGCTGAAGTCATCGTGCTCGCCGGGTTCCACCTCGGACATGCTCTGCACAAGGCCATGCAGATCGATACAAGCGCAAGCCGATCAGTTTGACGGGGTGGGTGCTCAAGAAAGTTGACTTGCAGTATAAGCAACGGACCGCTGACAAGGACCGGCCCATCAGGCTGGGCTCGAGAGACAGCAGGACATTGGGGGATTTCAGATCGTAGTGGATGAGCCCGTGGGCATGCAAGTATTCCATCCCGTCTGCGATTCCCTGCGCCCACTGAAGAGCAATCCGCAAGTCATAGCTGTTCAGTGAAGTGGCAAAGCGTGCACGCCCGTGAGGCTCGAGTTGCGGTTGGGGCAATCAGCAACATGGACCAGGCTTCTGGACCAGGCTTCTGGACCAGGATTCTCATTCTTGCTTGTTCCCGCGAACAGCCTTACATGTCCTCAGATGTGTAGAGAAGATTGTATAGGGAGCCATGCGTAGCGTATTCCATGCATAGCCACACGGCATACTTGCCCGACTCGTCATCTAGGATGAATGTCAAAAGTGATAGGATGAACACGCGTGCAGGTGGCCGTGATGATGCGTGCCCGAGGACATTTCAGGGGCGGGGGGTGGAGCACAAGAGGTGCGCGGGCAGAATAATAGTGAGACTTACAGGTGTGGCTCACGCCAAAGAGCTGGACAATGTTGGGGTGTCGCAGCTCGCTCAAAACCTTGAGCTCGGCGTCGAATTCTGGGGCTGAGTCGGCGTCGGTGCACTGCAACGAGCTGCGCACAAGCTGCTTGACAGCCACGTCGTGGCCCTGCCACGTCGCCCGATACACGGCCCCAAAGCTCCCGCGTCCAATCTGTTGATTTGTGTTGTGTTGTATTGAGTTTCGTTTCGTTTTGTTGTTGTGGTGTTATTTTCACAAAACAAAACAGCATACCAAAGAGGGCCATCGAGCGTGAGCAACAATGAGATGACCGAGGGACAGCTGCAACGAGTGTGGCAGACGATCTTGATTCAAGCATGGGAAGCACCAGAGAAGCCAAGCAAACGTACGAGATGGAGGTCAAGCAATTCATTCCGTTCGATCAAGGAGAAGGTGGTCAAGCCCTCCAGCATGGAATCGGACATGGAAACGGATGTGGGCGACCCTGTCGTGTAAAGGCAAGGCTATGAGAAGGATGCCGTGGGACATGCCCAAGCAGCAGAACAGATGAAGCTACTCCGCAAGCCTGCGTGCACGTACGGCGCAGCAGGTGCCGAAGCCCTTCACTCAGCATGCCGCTGGTTGACTCGCGCCAAGAGCGATGGGCTGGAGACGATGGCATGGACTGCGCGTCGCGCTCCGACAGCGGCTCGGCAGAATCATGGGTTAGTAGACCAGTCAAATGGGATTGTGTGCGCTTGTGGTGAATGCGGTCATGAGGCACCACCAGACCCGGGTCTTTGGAGGGGATGGGTGCGTCATTGGCGTTGTTAATGTCTGACAGATGGTCTGAACCCGAGGTGGGTGGCTCTCGCTCAATCATGAGCCAATGTTCGTCTGTGTTTTCAGTTTCTTGGCGATGACGTTCGATGCGCTTCCGCAGCCATTCGCTGATATTGGCACGCGCGAGCTGGTCACAGGTGCGACCGAGAATGTCCGTCTCGGCCGGGTTGGCACCGTACTTGAGCAGCATGTCAATCGTCGCGACACGCGACCATCGCGCTGCCAGGTGCAAGGGCGTTGCCTAGGAGCACGATCAAAGCCAAGAGCAGTCCGAGGGGATGGTTCTCTTCCGTGAGATCCTATGGACGAGCATGCTTGAAAACGAAGAAGAGCAGCAAGGTACGAAACCGACTGACCTGAATCCAGCCCTTAAAGTTGACATTACATTGGAGCTGCAGGAGTTGTCGAACCATCTGTCGGCAGGGGAAGGCAAAGGCCGTGCCGAGATGCAAGAGTCAAATGTGCGCCGGAGCCCAGCTCGAGAGGGCCGACGAATCAGGAAGCGCAGCAATGGAGGCTGAGAAACAGACCTCACTGTGATCTTCCAGGGATGCGGCATACTGGAGAGGCGTCAGGCGATGCGAGGGCACCTGAAGGAATCGCACATGAGCATCGCACAAGCATGGTACGACCAGGGTCGGGCAGTGCACCATTGTGGTTGAGGCCAGAGGCCCAGTGTGCTGCTTGATGGGGTTTATGAATGGATAAGCCACCCACCAGATAACCGAGGTGATTGAAAATGCCGGGCCAAACACCTTCAATGCACTGCTCGCGAAGTTGCGGGTAGCGTCGCAGCACGAGCTCGACGCGCTCAACATTGTTGTTCTAATCGGGCGCAACCATCATGACTTGCGGCCACCGACCAAGTGCGTGGCATGCCTGCCCCAGGAGGAGGCCCTGAAGAGCTGTCCATCCCAAAGCATACCTTGATATCGCGACGTAGTCCACGCACGGCGGCATGCACGTCAATGTCTGCCGGAAAGCAATGTGAGCAAAATCGCCGCGCGGCGGAAGAGACGGCGCTTTTTGTTTTTAAAAAGAGGCGATACACGACCCACCTTGATCTTGCATCCTGGAGCGTATCGAGGGCTGGCCTCGTGCGGGGACCCGTTGATGCATTCGAGTCGCAAGGGTCCCCGAGTCGAGTCACCGTGGCCTCAAGCACAGCGCGCAACCGCAACCGCAACCGCGCTGCGACGTGATCGTCAATCACCCAACAAGCCGAGACACACCACAACCAACACACCCATTCATCCACCCAACGCCGACACCAACGCCGACGCCGACCCTCCTGAAACTATTAACAGATACGATCTATGCTATCCACGTCACCCGCGTCACCAGCATCAGGTCGCTGCCGTTTGCTCACACACACAGAGAGAGACAGAGAGATAGACAGAGAGAGAGAGAGGCAGAGAGAGAGACAGAGAGAGACAGCGAGTGAGAGTTAAGAATTGAGAGAGAAAGAAAGAAGAGAAGGGAAAGGCGTAGAGAGAGAGAGAGAGAGAGAGAGACAGAGAGAGACAGCGAGTGAGAGAGAGAGAGAGAGAGAGAGAGAAAGAGAAAGAGAAAGAGAAAGAGAGACAGACAGACAGACAGACAGACAGACAGACAGACAGAGCATCAAGCGAGAGAGAGACAGAGAGACAGAGGGACAGAGCATCAAGAGAGACAGAGCATCAAGAGAGAGAGAGAGAGAGAGAGACAGAGACAGAGACAGAGCATCAAGCAAAGACACATGGGAAGAGTGGTGCTTAAGGGGATTTGAACAAAGAAACAAAAGAAAGCAAACTACCACACGTGGATAGAAAGCAAAAGCGTCATGTCAAGAGTTTAAGCAGTAGTTTGCTAAGAAGATGTAGATCTTATAACGCTCTTAAACCAACATACCGCTTAAAAGTGTGAACAAGTTGAAGCAGAAGCATCTACCATGGTTATATGCGCACATATCAGAGTAATAGTTGAAAAAGTAAATCAGCAACAGAAAATAACGTACAAATGATCTTAGAAGATGCATCAGAATATATAGAAATTGAAGAGCTCCAAAGCATTAGTGCAAGTTGATGTCATGCTCTCATCATCATCATCAAATTATACACTTAAATGCGTTTTTATAGTGTATTTGCACTTGTATTTTCCACACACGCACATTCAGTGAAACACTCGCAAGACAAACGCGACGACTCGACGACACGACGACACGACGACGACCCGACGGCAGTAACGCTGTAACGCGTGTGGATGCGGGTGTGGACGCATAGGGTTGGGACTGGCCTGTCTCGTCACGTGCAGGTGGCTTGTGCTGGGCAGCCCTTGAGTCGGGAATTTTGGGGGGTTGTTCGACAACAGACCGCCCAGATGGCCAACGCGGCGGCTGCACAGGCCACCCGCAAGTCCGGTGCCGAGGCTCTGGCGCAACTGCGCTTTGATAACAGCGCGCTGCGCGAACTCCCTGTGGACCCTGAGACCAAAAACTTTACTCGTCGCGTCTCTGGAGCATTCTACTCCCGCGTTGAACCGGCTCCCGTCGAAAACCCTCAAGTGCGCCCCCCGCACAAACACACGCACACACACGCGTGCGCGCGCGCACAGTGCTTCAACTCGTCTTGCTCGCGCCACCGCCTTGCTCACGCCGCCGCCCTTACCTTGTCTTCAAATATTAGGTGGTTGCACTGTCCTGGCCTGCTCTTGAGCTGCTGGGCCTCACCGAGGCGACGGTACAAGTTGATGATGACTTTGTCGCCGCATTTGCTGGTGCGCCCGTTGAACCCCCACGCACTTGCTCGAACCAGATCGTGCTGCCATTCTGACCCTCTCGGCCGTGGCTCTGCCATGCATCTGCGATCTGACGCAGGCAATGTTCCCATCCCCGGAGCCGAGTATGCCGCACACTGCTATTGTGGCCATCAATTTGGTTGGTGCTCTGCCTCCCGTGCCTCAATCAGGCTCCGAGCTCAAAAAAACCTGGCCGCTTCATTTCGGACTGCACATTCTTGCCAGGTTACTTCTCCGGTCAGCTCGGGGATGGAGCCGCCATGTACTTGGGCGAGGTGAGTTCATCAGGCCTCTCCCTCGTCCCGTGACACCCCCTCCGGTCCCGCAATAAAAGAACCGGCACACTCCTGCTCGACCCGCTCATCCGCTTTCGCATGCTACAGGTCGTCAATGAGCGCAATGAGCGCTGGGAACTTCAGTTCAAAGGTGCTGGACTGACCCCGTTTTCGCGACAGGCCGATGGCCGCAAGGTTGGACCTTTCCCCTTTGGCTCGCCTGTATCCACGCCGTGCCTTGTCATGCGACTAAATCATGCGAGACCTAACACCCTGCGCTTCCGCACTTTAGGTTCTTCGCTCCTCAATCCGAGAGTTTTTATGCTCAGAGGCCATGCATGCCCTCAACATCCCCACGACTCGAGCGGGGTACGTTTGCTTCGACGCGACCTGCAATTCGCTTTCAGCGCCAACACCTCACTCAAATCGCTGGAATTCTAGATCCTTGATCACCTCTGACACGCGGGTGGTCCGCGATATTTTTTACACGGGATCCCTGATCCAAGAACGAGCCACAGTCATTACCCGCCTTGCGCCCAGCTTCCTGCGGTATGCGTGCATCCCCACCAAACACTGTAGCGTTGCGCCGCGCTCTCACTCACTTGCCCCATCGACTCGACCGCTCGACCTTTTACAGCTTTGGCTCTTTCGAAGTAGTCAAGGAGAAGGACCCCAAGACAATGCAGGAAGGCTCCAGCCCGGGTCAAGTGGAACTCACCAAGAAACTGCTCGACTACCTGCTTGCACACCACTTTGCCGACATCTGGTCCCAGGATAGCTCGCCCGAGGACAAGTTTGCTGAATTTCTGGCCGAGGTGACGCGACGGACCGCTGCTCTAGTCGCCCAGTGGCAGTGCGTGGGCTGGTGTCACGGCGTGCTCAATACAGACAACATGAGCGTTCTTGGCCTGACCATCGACTACGGGCCCTTTGGCTTTATGGAGCAGTATGACCCCAACTTCATCTGCAACCGCTCCGATGATGGAGGGCGTTACGATTACCAGTCACAGCCCGAGATTTGCCGTTGGAACCTTCACCGCCTCGCCGATGTACTCGTACCCCATCTTCCGCTCGAGCGCGCCCGCGATATCATTGACAGGTATGCATCGCGAGCACAACCTCAAACACGGCTTCGTCGCCCGCCTGTACTTGCGGTTGTCTTCTTGGATTGACGTCTGTGGCTTCTTGGGCATGCACGGTGGTGCGGTCCGACTTTTCCTCATTTCGTGAGCTGAAATCGCTATTTGTTGTTCCAGGCACTACACCCGCACCTTTGAGCAGGCTTACATGGATGGCATGCGAGCCAAGCTGGGGTTGTTGTATCCTCAGGGCGAGGATCAAGAGCTCATCAAAGCCCTTTTCACCGTCATGGCCAAGACATCAGCCGATTTCACCAACACTTTCCGTCTGCTGAGGTCAGCCTGTGCTGCTGTCACGGCTCGTGCCGGTACATTGGCACAAGTCTGGTCTGGGTGTGTGGCAAAACCGGTGTGACCTTACTCACACACGACGCATTCCCGGATCCCCTAGCCGTTTCTCCATCGACGACCAAGGCCGGGCGCTTTGGCCTGCCTTGCGAGAGCAGTTGTATCCACTGGATGTATGTGGCAGCTTGGAATGTGTCCTGGTGCCAGCGCAAAGCGGACCGATGCTCTGTCTCACAGTCCACGCGTGCGTGTCAGGTTCAACGGCTGTTGAGTAAGCCACGGATCCCCGAAGACCAAATGCGGCAGCTACTGGCCATGCCTCAGTACGTGGGCACAGGGCGAGCCAAGCACACCTTGCTTGCCGCCGCTTTTGTCTGGGCCTGGTCCCTCATTGCGCGCTCTTGTTGCGTTCCTGCTCACACGTGGCCGTTAGGCTGGCCGAGATGATTGGCCTGGGGGCTGGCGTCCTAAATGTGGAGCAGCGCAAGTCGGCCCGTTTCAAAGAACTGCAACAACAGACGCAAGAAGCCATGGACGAAGATAACCTGACGCATTGGCAACTTTGGTTCAACAAATATGCTGCACGCCTGCAGGTCGACAATGACACGGCTCTCAAGCAGGACCAGATGGCACGCGATGCCGTCGAATCACGTCGCCGACAGGTTGGCCACTGCTGTGTGACAGGCTTGCACGACACACGAGACATCACCAATGTCAAATAGCGCCGCTGTCGCTGACGCGCCGGTTTCTGGCTGCTATAGGTGATGGATGAACACAACCCATCCTTTGTATTGCGCAACCATGTGGCGCAGACTGCCATTGCCAAGTGCGTAGTTGCTTTTGTAGGATTCTGGGCCGATTCGCCTGCTTGACGGTGATTCTCTGGCTAAGCTTACGGGGTCATGAAATTCCCTGGAACTTTGCATAGGGCTGAGCAGGGCGACTTTTCGGAAGTGCAGCGAGTACTTGAGGAACTCCGGTACGCAACCTATGCGATTCTTGTCGGTCATGTTGTCCAGGCTCCAATCCTGCTCACTCACCCTAATCGCCTGGACAGCCGTCCCTTTGCTGAGCGCGAGGATTTACAGCGCGCCCCGGTATGTCTCCGCCGTGTGCCATAGCTGTGTCTCGTAACCCTGCTCATGCCGCATATTGTTGTGTGCAACAGGCCTCGGCATGCGGCCTCGGCGTCTCTTGCAGCTCTTAAGACTTTCTGCCCCACTCAACTCGACTTGAGCACTGCCACCCCACATATCTACTCGCTTTACAATCCAATCCAAGCAAGAGCAGAAACATGGTTTCAGCGCACCTGCCTTCACCGATCCGCATCAGCGCGCCGCCGAGCGCCTCCACAGGTCAACATTTACATGTAGTAGTTTTCATCAGCTTTTCCTTCTCTTCCTGGCTCAGTGTGACTTTTAAACGCTAGTTCGAAGGTAAATGCAGTTTTGTATACTTTCCTAAGCTAATTTGTAGCAGTAATCTTACGACTTTTTGCAGCATTGGAAATTACACAGCGACCGAGACAGCGCGACACCGCGACACTGTCTGCGCGGGCGCAGGAGAGGGGAGGGAGACATGATCTGATCACAACAGGGAGAGAGCTGGTCGCCACTGATTTTTTAGCGCAAGGGGCGCTTGCGTCATTTTGGCAGCATGGCTGGGTTGCCCTTTGTCGACCTCGTCTTTTTGGCGGGCGTCAAGGATCCGGACGGAGCTGAGGCGCCGAACCAGGTGCGCGCTGTGCTCCAGGGATCGGTCTCTGATCCTTCCCTCTCTATTGGCCGTTTGATCTCAGACCTGGGCGACAACCTCACACTGGCTGGACGGGCGTGTTGCTGGTCGTGCCCTGCTGACTTACGCAGCGTGCCCAGTCGTCGATCGTCGTGCTGGCCAGTAGCAGCTCGGTTGACAATGCCGTCCTCAGCATCCTCAATGTTGGTTCCCGTGCAGTGCCGTTGATCGCCAGCCCAACACTCCTTGCCGGCGTCTGCTCAATAACAAATCGCGACCATCGCTTGCAATGCACCGCAGTTGTCATGCACAGCGCCCCGACTTCCTACTTTTCGCTCAGCCGTGCTGACTAATGAGGTAATGGACCTAGCTCATGCTCAGCTCGCCGCCGTCGCCAGCCCGAGTCCACTCACTGCAGCTCGGTTGATTTGTAAACTCTGCAGCGGGGGCAACGCACCTATCTGGAAGCTTTGGTCTATGCCCTTGAACGTGCCGTCAGTCCCTGCGCCACAACTCGCTGTTGCCTCACACCATTTGGCACCTTGAGCGCGATGATTTCCCCTGCTCTTATCCGTCTCCAACGGATCAACCCTTCGCTTACATGATGTTCTGTGCTTCATTCATTGTAGGATGGCGAGCGGACCATGCGTTGCCTGGCCTTCATATCTCATCTGCCGCTCTGGTACCAGCAAAGGTCAGGCACCCGGCTCGTTGCACCCGCCTCACCCTGCGCGACAGTTGTCCTCACCAGACCCCCCTTGGCGGGAATCGAGCTTAGAGCGGCCCTGCGTTACGTCTATGAGCAACCCGTCCGTGCGCAAGCCAAACTGCTCAACACCATCCTCAGCCTGCGCGTCTACAGCCGGTAAGGCCGCCTACAAACTCCCCGGCCCGTCTCAGTGTGAACCCGCCTCTTGCTAACGGCTCCCGACGTCGACCTAGGGTGATATTCAACGTCTGGATCTTCACCACAATGCCAGCCTTTCCATCTACCGCCCCCCCTTGGCCCTCTTGCAGGCCCCTTTTGGCGTGGTGGGCTTGGTTGTCGTTCCCTCCGATGTTCTGCTTTTCCCCGCCGTCGTGCGAGCACGACCGGGCTCATCGTGCTGCGACCCTGTATCGCGATTTAGATTGACTTGCTACTGCAATATCTTTGCCCCCGAGACGTTGTTCACATTGTGCTGCACGCCGTCCTAGGCCGCAAGATTATTGTGGCTGGCCGCCACATGACAGGCGTGGCTCACGCTTGTGCAGCCATCCAACAACTGATGTATCCCCTCAGTGTGTGGTCTGTGTTTATTCCCAACCTTCCGCGGTATGCGCTCTCATCCTTTTGCGCTCCCAGCACATTCCCTACCCTTGGCCTAACCTCGCACGCGCCCCATCTGAACTAGACACCTGGTGGCCGACGTGACGCCGATCCCGTCGCAATACCTTGTGGGCATTCACAGTGATGACTTGCCTTTGGCCGACGTGGGCGACGGCATTGTCGTCCAACTGGACGACTCACAGCTGCAGGGCAGCACAGCGATGGATTTACCTGCGCTTCCCGAAGTGGAACAGCTCATCCTCGACGTGCAGTTTGCTCAGGCGTACACCACGGCCATCAACCATGCTACCACATCCCACGAGTACCTTCGCTTTGACGAAGCATACAATGCCTTTGGCCCTGACAGCTTTGAAAGTGACATCGCTCGGCGAGGGGGTGACTCGACCGGCACGCAACACTCCAGTGCCGATGACAAGCTGCAAGCCGTCCTGCTCGCCATTGGCGAGGGGAGCCTCGGCGCTCGTGTGCGCTGGCTCTTCCTCCGCTTTTGGACCATGCTGCTCAAGGACTTTTCACAGATGTTTCTTTTCATTGGTGACCCCATGCTCGTGCAAAAGGATGAGCAAAGGGCTCCCATCTTCAATCAGCGCTGCTTTCTCTACCACGAACGGTGAGTTGCCCAATACCGCGGGGGTTCCACCAAAGCTATGGCCCCTTCGAAACTGCATGACGATACCTGCGCTACTTATTCTCTACAATCGGTTTTTGCTTTCACCTTCACCCACGCTGTTTATCATCAACATGTCACTTTGTTCTCCCTGCATTGATGCCCTCTTCTGCGCTGTTATTCAGCTCCTCTCGCAAGCTCGCCAGCGGTGTGTAAACCTCTCACCCAATCCTGCCCCTGCGAGTGTCAGGTCGGCTGTTTGAGGCCTCACTCCCGGTGCCTGCACCCGTAGATGATCCCCGCAGTCTTGAACTGTTTGAACAATTGTTTGAAGCGCAATCTTTCCAAGTCTTTCTGCACCAAATGGTAGGGTCGGCGCATTACTGAAACAGCCTCTGCATTTCTATATCCAGGCCTTGTGGGCCGTGCTTGTTTTGCTTGCATCGCGCGCGTTGCCCGGGAGCTCACGCCGCCTGGTGCTGTCTTTCTGTGGTGCTGCCCAGTGCAAGAACGCAGCTTTTATGCAACCTTTTGACCTGTTTCTTCGGTCGTACATGCAAGGCAAGGAGGCGACCGTACCCACGGTCCTTCACCTGTTTGCGTGGACAGCGCTGCAGGAAGCCCCAAACACGAGCGTACAGCTGCAGCTCGACCGCACTTTGCCACAGACTCCCGTCGAGGACCCCAAACTTCCACATCACGCGCCAGGCGAGGCAAACTTGGCCGATGATGATTTGAACAAGCGCACACCACTGCGCCCCCCACTTCGCGAAGGCCACCGTCACTACGACCATGCCCTTTTGCGCACCAGCTGGGAGCGGGCTCCGCAGTGCGTGCGCGACTTTTTGCAGCTGATTGTGGCTGACGCACGGGTTGCTGATCTGGATACGTGGTACCGCGCCAATCTGACCGAGTTTCAGGCCTCCGTTCAAGATGAATACGTGGCATATGGCGTTGCCCGCCGCTTATGGACCCTGCATCACCGTGACAAGCTGGCGACAAGCTCTGAATCCAAGCGGGAGTTTGCACTGTCAGCGCGCAAGTTTGACATCCTACTCAACGTCCTACACACCCTCTTAAATCATGCACCCCCCGATGCCAGTCTCAGCGCGGCTGAAGCTGGTAGCGCCCCTCTGCATCGCTACATCGCGGCCCGCAGCTGGGTTGACCGCGTGGCTGCGCATCTAGTGCCTGTCATCAATGGTTACTCGTACCGAGACACACGAAGCGATCGACAGCTCTTGTCAGACCAGTTCTGGCATCACCCCCTCTGGGACAGCATTGAGTTTTGGGTTGACACCATCCTCCATCATGTGGAAACCGCTCACTCCGAATGCCTACGAGCTGGCGGCTCGGAGGATCTGGTGACCGACTTTTCCAATGCAGCCCGCGGTGTCATTGCTGAGTTTGTCTTATACATGCACAACCTTGGGGTCGCGATTGAAGTCATCCGCCGCGTGGTCCAAGAAACGGCCGAATTTTATTGCAAGCTCGCGCCATCCTACGTCACCACGCTGGAGAGCATCATCCCTGCGGAGGCTAAGCAGCGCCAGGCTCGTCCAGGCCGACCTTCCCTGCGCCATCTTAGCCTTAGCTATCACCGCAACTCGCTGGTGGTTGATGTATTTGATGACCCGACTGCCATAGCGCTTCTGCCGGACCGTGCGGCCCTTCTTTTGCCGGCTGAATCTTCGACCTTTGGCTATTTGGGTGTTACCTTGTTGTACACACATGGGCGCCGTTGGGCTTGCGCTACGGGCAATCTGCATATCACCAACTATCGCATCCTGTTTACCGGATGGGCACAGAGTGCTCAAGAGCGCGGTGACCACCGAGTATACGCCAGCGACAATCTTCAACGCCGCAACCTGCGTTCGACTACAAGCTCACAACTCTCCCCGGTGGCCGAAGAGGGCACGTCAAAATCCCCCTCTTCAATCAGTGCGCAAGAGCGTAGTGATGGTCCCCCTCGTACCTCAACGCCTGTGACCAGTCGGACCAACAGTCTGTCGCGCTCCTCATTTCCCACTTTGGGCCTGTCCACGGAGGATCTGGATGAAGAGTATGGTAAGCCTGTGCCCTTTTGAAATGTTTGCGTTGTTGTTGATGGTGTCTTTCTTTGAGCAAGGATTGCGGGCGGGCGGACGGGTGCTTTTCGAGGCTGCGGGGACCAGATACGGTGTAAAAGGTTTCTTTTTCCTTTTTTTTTTTTGTGGGGGGTTGTTTGCTTGTTTTTGCGATGTTGGTTGCGATGACTGACAAAAGATTTTGCCGACGCAGTGGACTTGGACCTCCATGAACACTTGGATGCAGGATCAGATGACGAGCTTGAGGATCAGATGGATATTTCTGAGTTCTGGGCGCCCACGGACAGTTTTGCACCCGTACGTACTCGCTCCGTTTTGCGCCACTCTTTGAATGCCTTTGCCCTGCCCACATCCCTGAATTTCATCCCACACTAGGTGGTTCTCAGCATGCCCTTGGCGGCCGTGGCCAACATCAATACGTTCTCGATTGACGGAATGGCACACCAGCGGGCGCGACAATGGCACACCAAGGGCATAGTCATACTCGGCAAAAACTTTCAGGTCGCATATTAGCTCTCCACGGAACCACTCTTCTCGTGCTGTTCTCTGTTTTGAATGTGGCATTTGTGCTTTCTCACCTGCGTGTGCGTGGGGACACGTGTGTGGGGGGGATGTGACGACTCGATTAGACCATGCGGCTTACCGTTGACAAGGTTCATGCTCCTGTGCTGGCGGATATCGAAGGCAACCTCCACCGCGTGCTTGAACGAGTCAATGACCAGGTTGGTTGGACCTGATCCATGACGACACTCCTGCTGTTGCTGACAGAACTCGCCCAGCCCTCGCTGGCCTCATCGTCCTCATGCGTGAACCTGATTGGCTGCTGCAGAATTCATTTGCGATGCACACCTCGACCAAAAAGAATCAAGCTGATGTCAGTCTAGCAACCCCTCCCTTCTTGGTTGAACTCTTTGAGCTGCGCTGCGTTTCATGCTTGATCAAGCCTCACGCGCATGCTCTGTCGGTCGGCGCTTCTGCCTGTTACGCCCTTTCCTTGTTGCTTCGTTCTGGTCAGGGCCGGAAAACAGTGGCTTCGCTCGAGACGATCCACCGCATTGTGGTGGAAGGCTTCCGCCGCAAATCTCGAATGATCTCCACGACAAGTGACGGCTCATCTCGCGAGTGCGTCCTCACGTCATCCTGTTTTTGTTTTTGGTCTTGGTTTGTTTTGATGACCCTTCTTGTTTTGAATCCGGTCACAAGCTTTCACCCCTTGTCGATTTTGACTCTCTTTTATAGCTCCAGTTTCCATAGTCTTGTGAGCACGCTTTCGGTACGATCTGAGACTGCGACCGTTTCCAATTTCCTCTCCTTCGCCCCTTGACTTATCATGAATCCTGTGCTTCATTCTATTACGCGTTTTATTACAGGCCACCCATGCCGGCGAGCACTCGTAAGTGTCCGAGCACACGCCTGAGTGCACAATCTGATACTCTTTCCTCCTTCCGCGTTGCGGGTGCTGCTTCTCAATGCATATGTTTCTTTGCTTATCCCTGCCTTTCTTGTTCTTTTTCTTTGCCAGCTTGGACGAAACCATCGCCTCGGCATTGGCCGTAGATGCAACGCGTCAGGACACGTTATTTTCTGACTTTGATCGCATGAACATCCTGGGCGTTGACCATTCCTCGGGTGTCCTTCCTGGTACGTCTGCGCGTTGCAGAAGCCGATCGACTCGTGACCAACACAGGACAGGTCGTGCACCATCAGACCCTGGTGGTCATTACGGTCGCCCGCACTCATCAACAAACCGGACCGTGGGCTCGCCGTAGGTTGGCGGGCAGTACCCAACCACGGCTTTCGCAAAGTGCACAGCTACCCTGAACTGTTTTTGCTGCCTGATGCCTTGGACCCGAGCGAGGAAGCGGGTGCCATGTCCGCTTTTGTACATAACCGCATCCCCATCCTGCAGTGGACCAATGCGACAACGGGTGCAGCCATCCTCATGTCAGTGCTGTCCAACACCTGATGCTTGTTCAGGCGACTCAACCAGTTGTTTTTGAGCAAATTTGCTGCTACTTTGGCGTCTCACACACGGGTGAATTGTGCGAAACGTCATTGTATCATAGGGGCGCTGCATGTGCGCAAGCCTCCTGCAGCAGCGTGCAAGCATTCTATCGCGCCCTGCTGGATCTGCGCGTCAAGCCGGTCCGAGGTCAAAACGCGCAGGGATCGCAACGCTTGATGGATTTAAAGCTGCAAAAGCTACCCGTGTCCAAAGGGTCGGATGCGCAGCCGCAGATAGTTGTGCTAGGAGACAATGCTAGCACCCAAGATCCACAAATTCCCGGCGTCACCTTTATTGATGTGACCATGGCATCACGCCCTCTAATCACCAGCGTTGCCACTATTCACGAGATGTAAGCACGGGCATCTGCTTTGACATTTGCTGAAACGAGCGCCCTCTGATCACGCATCGGGGTCAATCGGTCGCTGCCGTATGTTTCAAAACCTAGGGCGCGAGAACTTTCGGTGCTGGCTGCCGGACTGGACACGGGAAGCTTCTGGCGCGACTTGGACAAAATCGGTTGGCTGACACAGGTGGCCGATTTGCTCCACTGGTCCAATGTCATTGCCGACTTGTGTACCGAAACACACGCGGTTGTTGTGATTGCCATGGAGCATGGGTGCGATGCCGCCATGCAGGTACGTTTGGGCATGACGCAGAGTCAAAGTTTCTGGGTCAAAAATTTCAATGGCCCATGACTTGGTGAAATCACGGTTGCTTACACTTTATGGCTTTATTGACGGATGGGCGGGCACTGCCGAATACAACCTGCTTAGTTGACGAGTTTGGCCATGCTGCAACTGGACACCCATTATCGCCAGCTAGATGCCTTCATGGTAGGGTGCAATGAGAAGATGTTGACACGAATGGCCGGATGGGCCTTGCAGGGCCTTTCCAACGCATCTCTCATGCACCTGCATTTCAATCGTGGCTAGGCGCATATCATCAATCGCGTGTGGATTCAGCACGGGCATCCATTTGCGGCACGCGCCGGCCTCGTGGCCGCCAAGCCGTCTCCCCGCAGTGCCGAGCTGTCGGGCGTTGCGGGACTACCTGCCCCAACTTTTGGTCTGGTACGTCACATGTTTGGCTCTTGAGGAGGGTAGTTTCAACCTGTGAGTCTGTTTTATGCTCGTGAGAAGACGTTGTTTCCTTGGCTTTTTAAGGCCGTTTGTGTGTTTGTGCGGGGTAGTTTTTGGACTGCGTTTATCAGATGTTATCACAATTTCCGGCCCAGTTTGAGTTCAATGCCGAGCTTTTGGAGGCAATCTTTCACCACAGCTACTCTGCCCGGTGCGTGCGAGAACGGTCGCATTGACACACGACTCTCAAGCAACGGGTTTTCAACATGCTGGACCACAGCCGTGCTCATGCGGGTGCCTTGTTTGGTGGATGGTGGATGGAATTGGTAAATGGTCGCAGCTTTGGCAACTTCCTATGCAACGACCAAGCTTACCGAGATCGACTTGGTATCGATATGGACGACCTCTTTGCGTTTGTGATGGATGCTCACGCCAAAACACCGCAATATGCCAATCTGATGTACAGTGCCTGCAACGCGCACGTTCTCCGCACCAACGCGGCGCTTCCCATGATGCAGTACGTGTGCGCACCGTCCCACGCATGAGTGGAGCCCGGGCTGTTTTTTGTGTAGCTACGAGCTCTGTGGACTCACACTCACGCTGTGCGATGGCGTGGTCAGGCTGTGGCGGCAGGTGTACATGCCCACACCCGTGCTTGCCACAAACGAGCAGGCCGGAAAAGGCAGTTGCCCGGACCATGTGTGGCAGGCAGCTCACGAGCACGCGAAAAGCTGGGACCAAGCACCAGAGGGCCACTACGTCGGATTGTGGAACGTCTTGCGTGACTTGGCTACAGCACGAGGTCTGTCTCTCGCGTTGTGCAGATTGAAGGAAAAGGCAGGCATTCGCATGTTCTGCTTGAGCTGGTCCTATAGGCGATGGGCTCGAATCGACACTGAATTCGTATTGGGACTGCTGTGGCTCGCAGGCGTGGACTGGGCGGTTATTTGGGCACAACGGCAGCCGGCAACGCCCAGCGCACCGCCCACGCCAGATTGGCGGCTCAAGGGCTCTATGCGTGGCCTCAACGGCCGCTTACTAACGCGCTCAACCGTGCGCTCTAAGCGGCGGTACGTGGCCACCAAGCGGTTGATCGACCAAATGGAATGGCTGTCATCATTTTCATTTGTGCCGTTGCCTTTTACCGCCCGTAGGCGTCATTCGTCTTTTGCCGTGCCACAGATCCGGCGCTTCTTCTCCTCCGACTCGGTTGACGTTGAGGACGAGGTGTGTCTGTGTGTGTCTGTGTGTGTCTGTGTGCACATGTGCCAAATCAGTCGCGCTGGGTTCAGATGGAATTTCGAGCATAAAACAGGTTTAGAAACGAATGACATCCTGACACAGGTTTGCTGGTGAGCGTGCGTAGGTTATTCACGAAGCGCTGGTAGAGGATGCGCCAGAGGTGACCAATGCCATCTTTTATGACGTCGAGCTGGAAGGTCAATCTGGAACTGGCCCTCCAGCGCGTGAATTTGCCGTGTCTCTCGGTAGGTGCTGGGGCGACACCGGGGAGGGCGGCGGCGGTGGCCCAATTGGACTTTATCGGTCTTGGTGCCCATGTTTCCTGTCATTGATGCTTTCTTGTTTGACTCGACGCGTTTGTGGAGGAAGCCTGGGGCCGAGAGTTTGTCTGGGGTTTTGTATTCATCGACTGTCGGTTTGGGGTGCGTGCCATAGTCAAACAGCGATTGGGCAAGACGTTCCTTGTGGCGGGCAGCTTGTTTGTGCACGCCATCATTGAGTTTTACCCGCACAACCACAGCCGCAGCGCCTCCTTTGTTCTTACCCACAACTCCCACGTGGAAGTTAAAGATCAGCTGCGCCGCGGTGAGGTACGATCTAGCCGAAGCAGCGACCTTCTCGACATTCTCGCCCTGGTGTTGCTTAACCTCACATTCCCTCGATCGCTCCTTGCCTGGCGTGGGCGCGTCGTAGGGCGCGTACCTAATCATCCGCGTGGCCCCACGACACTCGCTGACCTTTTTGTTCGAGACCCCGGCCGACCGGCGCGCGTGTCACGAGGCTCTCCTGCAGTGCATGCAACAAAGCGACGCCTAAACAAGGTCGCGCGTCATCGGCTCGAGGCTTGTCCTCAAGTGCCAACTAATTATGGGGCCTGCGCTTTCAATCTTCTCTGCCATCATAAATAATACCCCTCCTAAATAAACTCCATACTACTCAGTCCAGTGTCGATCAGTTGAGATTTGAACTTTTGCTGACATCAATGGTTTTCTTCTCCCCAAGACAAAAGCCAAGGAAGAAGGGGGTCTTTTCGGTCAGAAGCTCTACACGACGACCACCCAGCGTGGCCCTTTTCCCTCTTCTGGGCTCGGTGCGTGGTGTCCCCGTCTCCCTCTCGCTCGCTCGCTCGCTCGCTCTCTCTCTCGTTCTCTGCTCGGTTGAGCGAGCTCGCGGTCGTGGGCTTGGTGTTGTCGGGCTGCTGGTCGTGTTGGCTCGGGGGCATCTTCCTTTGGGAACGTTGGCTCTGCTACGGCGTCTTGCCAGGGTGTTGGTTCTGCTTCCGCGGGAGTGCGGGTGGCGCCTGCCGTTTGTGTGCAGCGGGTTGTACGCTGCCGTTCCTGAGCAATTTTGTCGTGTTTGTTGGGACGTGTGCCTGGATTCGATCAGCTGCCTCCCGTCCTTGGCTCATGATATTGCTGCTCGCTCCATTCCTCCCCATCTGTATCTGTGGATGATCTTCTGTGCCTGGTTTGCTTGTACAGGTTTTTTCATAAAACAGAGTCGCCGGCACCATGAACGGGCAAGACCGCGTGCAGAAGCTCAAGAACCAAGTCCGCACTGGCGGCAAGGTAGGATGCTCAGTGGGCTTGTGTATGATGCTCAGAGGGAGTGCTTTGGGGTTGTGACAGCTATCTGCGCCCTTTTGATGGACTGTACAAGACGGGTCATGCACTATTTGGGGTGGGGAGCTAAGGAGTCACATCCACTGAGGGCGGGAACCGTTCATTTGCTCGATGGCCCGAAAGCATTCAGCTAGCACGTCCCGACGCCTGGGGCTGTTTCATCGGTTGCTGCGTCCAGCTCATGATTTTGGCACGTTTCTCTTTGCCTGCTGAACCTGACAGGGTACTCCCCGTCGCAAGAAAAAAGTTGTGCACAAGACTGCCGGCTCTGACGACAAGAAGCTGCAGACCACTCTCAAGAAGCTGGGTGTCAACAACATCCCCGGCGTCGAGGAGGTGGGTCGTGCCTGCCTGCGGCTAGACTTTTTTTAAGATGCTTGTAGCTTTGGTGCGTTATGTCCAAGTCACCTTGGCCTCATCTTCGATTGTCGCTCATCATTTCAGGTCAACATGATCAAGGATGATGGTACCGTCATTCACTTCAAGAACCCCAAGGTTCAGGCTGCCATTGCTGCCAGCACTTTCTGCATCTCTGGCAAGTCGGAGACCAAGCGCATCACGGAGCTGATGCCCGATATCATCAACCAGCTCGGCCAGGAGAACATGTCGATCCTTCAGAACCTTGCTGCTGAGATGGGTGCCCGTGGCGGTGTCACCCCTAGCGCCCTCGACGAGATTGATGGCGATGATGAGGATGTTCCTGGTACGACTTTCATCTCGCCTGCTTTCTGCCCTGACGGGGGAGCCAGTCCGCTGTTTTTCCCCAAAAAAAAATTTCCCTCCAGTTGTTTGGGCAAACTTGTTTCCGACTGGTTCGACCTTTTCTCACGGTGTTGTTTGTCCGTATCTGCTTCGCTATCTCTTTTGACAGAGCTCGAGGGCCAGAACTTTGAGGCGGCTGCCGGCAAGGCGTAAATGCGCCTGCTCGCTCTCAAATGTCTTGGATTGGGTGTACGCGGGGGTGGCATTGAATTTTCGTTTGTAGTTGCCATCCATCTTGCCCGATTGAGAAAAGAGTTGGTGTGGGTGGTCTGTTGGCCGTGGTTGATCAAGCGGGGTGAGCGCAGACAATATGCCTTGCCAAAGGAGAATGTGCGAGGTGGGAAGCGATTTTGCTTCTGTACTTTTGCGGCAAGCTTTTGGTGTGCATTTGTTGAGTTTGTTTCATTCTTGGCGCTTTTCTCTTTTGCTTCCATGGCACCACGATGGATCGAGGCGGTGCTTAAGCCCATACCTGCTCGTCCCTTACACGTTTCTCAAATACTTTAAAAAATCGAGAAGCCGAAATCAATCGTCGCGTCGTGAGTCTGTTGTTGTTTTCCATCGCGTGCAAGTTTTCACGATACCATTTTACCTCGACCGAGTTGACACGCATTCGAAGACAGCTCATAGCGGGGGTGACCTTGATCAATTGGCTCGCAAGGCGCGACGGCCAAAGAAGGGGTTTGAGCAATAGATGGTAAAGGTTGGGAAGAAAGAAAAAGGTTAAAAAAAAACATGCTGGACAAGAGGACAAAGGGTAGAAAAGAACAAGCGTGAGGCTCTGTGTGGGCCCTAGAAAGGGGCGTCCGCGAGCTGAACGCGTCTTGTGAAGGAGAGAGGGATCTGGTAGAACTATGGGCTTTTGACGACGACTAGTGCTTTGAGAACCATGCCTTGAATGCGGCACGTGTGGTTCCCAGCACCCATCATCGTTGCCTCGTGCGACCTCACACGCCTTCCACTGCGAGGGATGGGACGTGGGTGGTCGAACAAAAAGGCGCGATGAGCTTATTGGTCGTTGGCGTAGTCGGCAGGGTTCTTGCGCTTGCGTGCCTCAAACTCGTTGTTGGCCCACTATGCAAACAAGCCGAAGTGATATGAGTTTGACCTCGTTGCATGCTCGCGCAACCGTGCCTCGTCTCAAGGCGCGGTAGCGTGCTTGAGCAAAACATCTGGTTGGTGTGGGTCTTTTTTCCCCTCTCCCAACTCTTTTGCTGCATCCCTTCCTCTGTTTGTCAAGGAGAGTCGTGAGGCGAGTGTGCTTACCATGATGGTACCGACAAGAACAAGGATGCCGGGCAGAGCGACGGGACCGTCAGCAGCGACGCGACGCACAAAGTTGAAGGGGCCCTACACATGTCATCAGTGCGAGATAAAACCATGAGGCGTGCAGGTTGCAACGGCTTTGGAAGCCAGGCCGGGGCATGGGCACCCAAAAAGGCGTCGGCCAGCTTGAGCGCGCACCTTGTAGAAGAAGTTGCCCACGGCCTGCTGGCGCATGGGGGTGAGGCCAAACTGCACGATGCCGCGCGAGTTCTTGACGAGGTCGCCAAATCCGTGAGCCTGCAGATCATCCAGCACAAGGGCAAAGCAATGAGAGTACCGATGATTCGTGGCCAAAATCCCGTGCTCCCATCAAAAGCCATGGTCAGTTTGTAGAAAAAAAGAAAAGGCAGGGGAGGGTGGCATTGAGTCGGCACAGAAAAGGGGGCTCGCTTTCGGAACGGTCAGTCGCGAGCGCATCACTGTGCCTCGCCGTGACCTGGCACCGAGTCGTGTGCCTGAACCAAGCTCTCCACCTGTCCTGTGCCGGCATTGATTCAACACCACCCGACCCCATCCCCATCCCAAACCAAGCATCCCAACAACGACGACAACATCATCAACAACAACAAGAAGCACACACACACACGCGCGCGCGCGTGTGCGTCGGTCGCCCGGCCACATTCAGAGCCGGCTGAAAGGCAGCCAGCCCCTCTCTCTCTCTCTCTCTCTCTCTCTCTCTCTCTCTCTCTCTCTCTCTCTCTCTCTCTCTCTCTCTCTCTCTCTCTCTCTCTCTCTCTCTCTCTCTCTCTCTCTCTCTCACAGTTTACGCACCATCTTGAGGGTTTGTAAGTTTGTTAAAAAAATACCAAAAAATTACCGCTCAACCAATACATAATTTGACCTCCCCCACTTCTCTCTCTCTTTTCTCTCTCTCTCTCTCTCTCTCTCTTTCTTTTGTTCTTTTGTCTAAATACGATTTCTTTTGTCTTTCCATCTCACTCACACACACACACTCTCTCTCTCTCTCTCTCTTTTGTTCTCCTTACCGTGTACATAGTGCTCGCTGCCATTTTCTCTCTCTCTCTCTATCTCTGTGTCGCCGTGCCAACACAACGCCCAACGCCAACATGTTCAGCAACGTCGCTGCCAAGCTCCGCCCCATTCGCGAGATCTGCGTGGGCCTTGCCATCACTGGCTACATCTTCTACAACCTGCCCATCACCGGTTCGTGGCTGAATCTGCCCTCCCCCTTGAAGGCCTTGGAACTTCCTCTCCTGCCCTGTCTCACTCTGCCTTGCCGCTGCCTGTGCCGTTGTTGCACTCTATAGATGAGATGCGTGAGAAGTCGAGTAAGTCCCTGACACCTTCTCCCTTGCCCTCGCGCTCGTGCCAACCCTTCAATTGTTGACAGACCTCCTGCCCGAGCACGCACACGGCTCTCTCTCTCTCTCTCTCTCTCTCTCTCTCTCTCTCTCTCTCTCTCTCTCTCTCTCTCTCTCTTGCGCGCCCGCTCACTCCCATCTCACTCCCTCGCCCTCTTTTGCTCAATGTCCTCCAGAGTACTACAACGGCCACGCTCACGGCGAGCACCACTAAGCCAGAACACGGACACTGCACTCCGCCTCCTGAGGCTTGAACCTGTTTGGTGTAGCGTAGCAACATCATCGGCTTCTTGTCCGTTGTGGTTTTCTTGTTTCCGTCTGCTTCTCGTCCCTTGCCCCCTTGGATCAGTCCTCGAGCATGCCCGTACGGCACCTCGAGACACCGTTCCACACCCTTAGTCCTTTTTTTCCCCTCCCTGACAGGGCCTGCACTTGCGATATGCGGGGTCTCCATGGTTTATCCAGGGCTCAACTCGTGTACTTTCGTGTTGCTGCGCCCTTCAGCCAGCGCCTAGAACTGGCTCTGTCCCGTTCTCGGTCGCCTGAAACCCTGATCTTGTCAAATGTTGTGGGTAGCTCGTCAAACGCCGTGCCTACCGTCCATTGGCATGCCCCTTCCTTTTTCTTGGCTGCGCCCTTCCCTCCCTCCCTGGAGGAAGCACAGCCTATGATCTAAAAAGAAATTGAAAAAATCTTGCTCACATCTCTAACCGCTTCAATGGCCGTCGTTTCTCCGACCCATGGCAAGCACAATTTCCCAAAGAGCCTCCATTCAATTTGAAAATGTCGTTGTTCCACTCCAGGAACGTAATAATGTGACATACGGACATGCTAATCGAGCATCAAGTTTCTCATAGCCCACACGTCCTTGTCCGTGGGCGTGTTGCCCTCGGCAGAGTACATACTAGCCGTCCGTGCCTGTCGGCTATCGCGGGCGACCAGCTGCAAACGTGATAGCGCAGACACACTCGTGCGTCGGCTAGCATCAGGCAGGCCTTGCGTGGCAAACCCGTGCGTCAGCTTAACCGCGTGCTCCCCCACCCGGGCCACCGTGTTGGATGAGTAAAACTTGATCAACTGCTGCATGTCCGCAAAACAAGCCCGATGGTCCAGCTCAAACTGCTGCTGCCGCGGAACCCATTGCACCAATAGATGCACTACCACGCTCTCGGGGCATCGGACCGAGAGATAAAACGTGTGTGAATCCAAGGGATCGCGTCGGACCACAAATTCACCCGGTTGGCCCTTCTCCAACAGCAGACGATCAGTCGCCTCCTTGGTAAAATCTGCAAAGTACCATGCGCAGCTCTCGTGTCGGCGCGGCATGGTTACGTCTGCCGCGGTACGCTGCCGGAGCTCCGAGCGCTCAATCCGCTGTTTCTCATCAACCAGTCGATGACTGCCCAATTCCAGTAATGAGGACGAGCGGCGCAACAGGGGACGCTCCACCATCAGAGAGTCACCGCCGAGTTCAGTCACGGCTGCATCACCGACGCCCTCAGCCGTGGCAGCGTCCTTTGCCTGCATAGCCGAGCGCTCGGCCTCAACAAGCTCTGCAAACGGATTGGAAGGGTCGAACACGGGTAACGCTTTGGCCTGAGAAGAGCTGCCCTGGCGGGCAGCCGCACTGGTCTTGGTACGAGGGAGTGCAGCGACCTCGCTCGTCACGCCTTGATCTACCAATTCATGGACCTCCTCCCCCTCCAGCTGGGGGCTGCCTACAGACACGGATCGATGCAAAGCACGTCGGGTGGGATGGCCTGCTGAGACGGTAGCTGACCGCTGCAGAGCGGTCAGCTTGCTCTGCCTCGTGTGCCCCAAATCGCTGCTGCCGTCGTCATCCTCATCCGGGTTTAGCAGTGAAGCCGCAAAGTCATTCTTTCGCGACTCGGACTCGCGCTCGCGGCGCTGCAGCAGAGCATCAATAGCTGGCAGACTCTTGTGGATGTCCGCCTCGGCGACCCGCTTTTCCTCCTCGCTCATGCTGCGAAACATGCAGCTGATGTTCGTCTCCTCGGGGAACCGTGCGTCCTTATATGCCTCGTCGAGCTGGTGCTTTTCAAAGGTATAGACCTGAACCCAGGCAGACATGGGGATGAGCCTCATGGGCACCCATGTCCTCCGCGGAGGGGGAACGACAATGAACATGCAATCACTCACGCGATCCGCCACCACACAAGTGGGAAATTGGATTCGAAACATTAGCACATCAGCCCCACGGCTTGGCCGATGATAACACTCGATGACCACATCACCCTGTGAGAGGAATAAGAAGCAACATGTGTGAAAGCACGCCGTGCGGGAATCTTGGACGGTGGAACACAAAGACGTACCGCAAGGTGCAATCCTTGATCGAGATCAAACTGGATAAATTTATCGTCCCGTCGAAACGTGCGGATAGGCTCGGGACTCTGATAAACCTAAAAAACCAAACAGCAGCAGCCCCGGTGCCCACATCAGTCATGCCAAAAGCACCCCAAACCACCATATCAGCAAAAAACTGAGCGCGAATTTGCTTGTTCTTCCGTCTTCTTTTTGCCCCTCGCTTTCTTTCCTCCTTCTTCTTCTTTTTTTTTTTAAAGACCTGCAGCCACCTTGCCGCGAGGCTGCTGCAGGTGATCTGCACCACGTACCACGCGAAAGTCTTCCATGATGCTCAGATACGGCCGACAACCACCAGATCCATCAAAGGCCGGTATGCCCTGCAGGTAGACGTGCTCCAGAACCAAGTGTTTACGATAAACCTGACACGGTTAAGCGTGAGCCCTTTTTGTGCTGATGATGTGCCACTCAACCAGACGCTGCTTGACACCGAGTCGACATCTCTGCCGCACGCCAGAAGCAGCGGGTGCGGCGGTGGGCGAGCATGGCTCAAGGAACGGAGTACCTTGAGTTGGCCCGCAAGCACTGCCTCGAAATAGAGTACGTAACGACGCTGCGAGGGATTGGTGATGCCACTGCTCTTCTTGTCCGAGGTAAAGCTGATGATGTCAGCACCAAAACTGGGTGAGTTTGTGGAAAGTGCTGCAAAACCATGGGTTCTGTTCCAAAAAGAGGAACCCGTACCGCGTAATGGCAAACTGGTGCATGGCGTGCTCGGCCTTGGTAAACAAGCGTTTAAAACTTAAATAAGCTGCAATCACAACGCCTGGGAGCGATTCCCAAAAGAAAAGACAAAACTCCTTTGGTGAGGCAGCGATATACGACTCTGCAAATGCAGGTGGAAGCACACAAACACGCACCGGTGCGGCCCTTGCCACCCTTGCAGTGCACGGCAATGACGTTGTTCGGATCAGCCTCGATCCAGGAATCGATGCTGTTGCAAATGCTAGCCAAACGTTCGAGGGATGGGGCCATGTGGTCGGGCCAACCAAAGTCCAGCACCTGATTGTGAAACTCTTCAATGTCGTATTTCTTGTCGGAGACGTTGAAGATCATGTAGTTGGACCCGTGTTTGCTATTGAGAAAGGCGGCTACATCTTTGAGGTTGTTCCGATAGGCGGCCTGGAGTCCCGTGGCGGGCAGCGACATGGCTGAGCGGGAAGTTGCAAGCGCCACGCGTGAGCATGGAGCGCGTGAGCGTGAAGTTTGACGGAAAAGCCGGCATCAGCAAGCTTTCGGGCGAAGACGACGAGTAGCTCAAAGAGATGGCGAGGAAGGCGCGAGCAAAGGGGCAAAAGGGTGGGTTCTTCGTACCGATGATGCGTGGTGTAATGTATGTCAGGTCCAGATCGACGACTTCGGTGACGTAGCGAACCTTGTTACTATCAGGGTGGCAAGACGCATGAGGTATGAAATGAGCCGATGTAACGGCTGATGGAGATGAAGCAGGGGGGCGGCTAAGCCAAGGACCTACCCGGTCACGACTTTGCGAATTTGACGGACGAGGGTCGACGTTTTTTGGTAGAACCCGGGGCAATCGAGGTGTTTCCGGGCCTGGCCAATGCAACGTTCATGACAAATGTATCGACAATCTAATCAAGCAAGAGGGGGCGTGAGGGCCTGGATCCAAAGGTGTATACCACGTTGTGACCCGACTGTGACAGGATCGAGGCAGGTGCAAAGGGCTGATCCACGTACTAGTGCACATGGCAGCACGGCGCCAGACACGATCTGTACAGATTCTGCAGGGCTTCCCAAAGCCTTGGCCCTCTACGAATACGTGAGCTCGTTCCACCACCGTGGTCTAGGGGAGAAGGAGGTTGCATGTGGGCGGGGATGAGAGCTGATGGTGGCTGATACTTTGGGCGGCGGCAGATCAGGCGGTCCACCGCACGTACCGGGGCGGCATTGGTGGTGATATTGCCCGTGATGAGGTCGGCAGCAGCACTGTGATCATCGTGAAAGGCGGCCCAATGGCGAATCAAAAGCTCTTCAGAATCAAACTCCACAATGGTGGGCTGGCAGTCGGGACAGATAAAGCCGGTCGCGCGTGCGCGCGCTCCGCTTCGGTCCGGATCCTGGGTCATCTGGTCGGTGCCATTGCGCGTCCAGACCACCTTTTGAGCGTCTTGTTCCAGGTCTGAGACGGTGTCGTGCCGCGATGCCCGCGCGGACGGAAGCTTGGACCACCGCCGTCCCACCCAGGACCACCAGCGCCACCCCAGGTCAGCGTTTGCGGCACTCGTCCTGGGTAAGGACCACCAGTCGTAGTACGAAGGCTAGTCCAAGTCGTCTGTGGGACCCTGACGCGCCAAACGAGGCAATCCCCTGTCCACGGGGTGTGGTGCCCAGGCTGTCCAAGCCGAATCAACCCAGCTATACGGGCGGGCAGGGGCAGCCATCAGAGCACGGCGCCTTTCAAACACGATTAACAACCACAACAACACCAGTAAGACGAGCAAAAGGCGATGCTGCCTCACAGCTCCCACCACTCGGGTCGTCGCAGCCACCCCCCTCTCAACATCTCCCAACCCCCAAAATTGGCTGCTCCGATTCAACTCACCTCTTGACCCAAATGCACCGTCAAGGGCGCACCACCACCAACAGCGCCAACAGCACCAGCACCAGCACGACCAGCACCAGCAGCACCAGCACCAGCACGACCAGCACCAGCAGCACCAGCACCAGCACGTCGGAAGAACAGACCAGAGACCGACCGTCCGTGTGTGTGTACTGTTGTCGCTGTTGTTTTTATTTCTCTCTCTCTCTCTCTCTCTCTCTCTGTGCTTGAAACAATTTAAAGTGTATTTATGTTGCACACTTGATAAACTGTCAGCAAAATTTGAGTGTAAATTACCAAGTGTTATACTTTTGGCTCTTGCCGCTGTTTCTTGGCTCTCTTTTCTCTCTCTCTCTCTCTCTCTCTCTCTCTCTCTCTCTCTCTCTCTCTCTCTCTCTCTCTCTCTGGTCAGTGATTTTCTGATTTTTTTTATTTTTTTTGTTGTGGTGAGTGAGCGCTCGAGCCAACTGGAAGCCGGACGGCGACTCTGCACACACAGTGAACAGGGCAGCGCGTGTGCAGACGCCGACCTCAAATCTCCGTGGCCGTGTCATATACAAACCCGCCCTCGCTGGGTTCTGCCAGCTCAACTTGTGATTTGTAGATTCATCCATACGCCCACCGCCAAACACGCACAAGAGAGAAAAAAAAAAAAAAGAGCATCGAAGCGGTTCTGATTCTTGTTCGGCTTGCTCGCGGCGATAGGCATCTCTTGACAGCGCGATCGTCAGTAGCACCTCTGCAAACCCAGCATCATGGTGCGTACCGCATGACATGAACCTTTGTATCACTGCCGCCGGTGTTGGGACGACCCGCCCGCCCACAATCAACAACATTGTTGCGCGGTGTGCCCACTGGCAATGCCTCCACCGAACATGCGCTTCACCCCCTTGAAGCAACTCACTTTTGATCATGCCCTTCTCCGCCGCCCACGAACAGAGCTTCTCCCAGGACCAAGTTGCGAGTACGTAAATGTCTTCTCGGCCGCGAGGCTTGCTCAGACCAGCACGCAGCCCCGCGTCTGACATGCCCGTCACGCTCAATCAACGTCCCCTTGATGTAGAGTTTCGCGAATCTTTCAGCCTCTTTGACAAGAAGGGCGACGGCAATGTGCGCGTGAGCGACCTTGGCACCGTCCTGCGCGCCCTCGGCCAGAACCCCAGCGAAGAAGACATTCGCAAGATTCAATCCGAAATCGATCCTGACAGTGCGTTTGGTCTTTTTTTTTTTTCTTCTTTTTTTTTTCTTTTTTTTGTGCTCAATCCTTTTGACAAATGGCCGTGCCCAATGCCACCACGTATCCGTCCCATGGTTGCTTTCCACCCCTGACATTCTATCCCCGTTTCTTCCCGACGTCTTCCAGACGGCGACAAGCGCATTAGCTTTGAGGAGTTTTTGCCCCTTCTTGAGCGCGTCAAGGACAAGCGTCCCCCCGGCACCGAGGCCGACTACATCGAGGGTTAGTTGTGGTCGCTACTGCCAGTGCCACCATATGGCAATTCTACCCCACACTCCTGCTTTTTGCTCCACCCCGCCATCGAATAGGCCCTTTTCTCTTGGTTTTGATTGTGATTTGTCATTTCTCAATGTGGCTTGCGTCTTGGTTTGTTTACTCCATTCATCAGGTCTGCGTGTCTTTGACAAGGACGGCAACGGCACCATCAGCGCTGCCGGTACGTTTAACCTCGCACGTCTCACAACACCAGCCTTGTCTTTGTCCTCACCATGCACCTTGCCTGCCTGATGACCGTCACAGAACTTCGTCACGTGCTGTGCAGCCTGGGTGAGAAGCTGAACGACGATGAGGTCGACGCCCTTCTTGCCAACGTCACCATTGACAGCAACGGTGGCGTCAACTATACCGGTGCGTACCGCACTTTTGACGCCGGCGACGATAACGGGCATCAAAACGCGTGCGAGCTTCACCTCATCACTACCTCGCGTGCCTGCTTCTTCTCAGACTTTGTCCGCACGGTCATGTCGGGCTAAGCCACCGCCTGCCACCAATGGAAATGTCGGTACTTGTGGCCTCTCAAGCTCAGAACACCGACTACATTAGCCTGCGTTTACGCGCCCCAAGCCTCCATCCATTGAACTGCGTGTCTCTGCTGTCGTCCCCACCTTTCTTTTCTCTGTCTGTCTCCCTGTGCCTTGTTGATCATATACACCGGTGTTGTTTCGGCCCTTTTTTTTTTTGCCTCTGCCCGTTGGTTTCCCGTTACGTCCTGTGGCATCGTGTGCCTTGACCAATCGAGATCCCCTGCACCTCTTTGCACCCAGTACCTCTTTGCACCCGGCACGTTTTTGTAGACGCTTTGTACTCGGCAAAGCTTGTTTTTCGTTTTGATCTCCCCTTTCTCCAACGCGCCATGGCACATTTGTCAGACAAAATGTCTGGACCACAAAACTGCGGACAAGTCATTGACAGCAGTCTGAAAATCGCAGACAGAAGCTCATGAGCACAAGGGAGCAGGGGGGTGTAGCAGTGAATGGCAGTGATGGGGAGAAGGGGCAGGGCTGGCGGGAGGCGGTCGATGGTGGCTGGACAGGCAGAGGGGGGGGATCTGGTAGGAATCAGCACCGCTGTGATGATGCGGGAACAAGGGGATGGCACGAGAAGGCGTATCTGATTTTTCGGACTCGACTGGTTTCGGACTAAAGCCATGTTTCTCGTGAGAAGATTCAAGCTTGTTTCGAGTTGATCCCGCACACACTTGCACTTTTCCACCGAGTCGGCTCGCGATTGGCACCACGTCACTGGAGCTGCTTTCAAGACCAGCTGCCCGAACGAAGCAAGCATCGACCGCTCAGAATGAATGAAGTATCACAAGTGGTGAGTGGACTCCGCCCGAGTGACTTTGCACTTGCGAGCAGAAAAGAGAAGAGCGCACCCACGCACGCGCGCTGCCACAAAACAGCTCACCAAAGCCTGCCTGCTCGCTAGCTTACCCTCCCCTGTGGCCTGGGCCCACTCAAGCCGTGCTCGGCCTTTGCGGACATGGGCACACACGAGCGATATTGGGCACCATCCCGTCGTGAGCGAGCCATGTTTGCTCTGGCGACCAAGAGCGCTGGGCCATTGAAATGGCTCGGACCTGCCGTTGATTTCTTTTGCGCCTATCCATCGCTTGACCAGGTGCAGGCCTATGTGCTTGATCGCCGGGACCAGCCCAACGCGGCCGTCCTCCGCTGCATGGCGTACCGCTGTATCTCCGAAGTGATGGGCCAGGCAGCAGACCAGGAGTGCAGGGATTGGCTCAAGGGCGAGGCAAACGCCTGGCCGATTGCTCACGAGCAGCTCTATGATCAGAGACGCACGCAGGCTTTTTCACCCACCAACGAGCGCCTCCGGCTGCTACAACAGCTTGCTGACTTCTTTGCGACGCAGCCGTCCATGGAAGAAGTCCTGGCCTATGTTTGTCGAGAACGCCGATCAAACTCCTTCCTCAACGTTCTTACCAGAATCTCAGGGGCCTACCTCTGTCATGTCTGGGCTCGCATACCCTATGCTGAACCGCGCCCCTTGCATGTGTGGCTGATTCGTCACATGTGCCTCGCGGGACAGCGCTCGCTGTGACCAGGGAAGGGAACACTCGCACCCATGAGTCCAAAGGTGTGGTTTTGTCTGCTGCGCAGACCCTGTTTCCCCGCTTTGAATGTAACAATTAATCCCATTGATCGCCAAACCACAAGCCTCGCCCGCACAACACTCACCTACACACCAACGCGGTTGACACCACAAAGCCAGCTGCATGCCAACCCCCCTGCGCGCACAAGCACGCGCCCACTTTGCAGAGGCCACCTATCCCTCAAACCAACCACAAGGCCTTGATCCAGCCAGATCCACCTCCCAAACACCCCCCTGTCCAACTCGCAATGTCTCTCCGAGGCGAGCCGCGCCTGTCAACTGCAGCCTCCCCCGCGTTTCACCCCCCCCCATAATCATCGACATGCCCAACAGTGTTCTACATTTTATGCGTAATTACCTACATAAGTTATAGTTACAAATATTACTAGATCTTCGATATCCATGACATTTGCATCAAAAGCTCTGCCTGTATCTACACAAACTGAGAGAGAGAGAGACAGAGACAGAGACAGAGAGAGACACACAGAGAGAGAGAAAAACAGAGACACACAGAGAGAAATGAATTGGTTAGAGAATTGACGGTTTGAGAAAGAAAGAAAGACAGAGACAGAGACAGAGACAGAGACAGAGACAGAGACAGAGACAGAGACAGAGAAAAGAGACAGAGACAGAGACAGAGAAAAGAGACAGAGACAGAGACAGAGACAGAGACAGAGACAGAGACAGAGACAGAGACAGAGACAGAGACAGAGACAGAGACAGAGACAGAGACAGAGACAGAGACAGAGAAAAGAGACAGAGACAGAGACAGAGACAGAGACAGAGACAGAGACAGAGACAGAGACAGAGACAGAGACAGAGACAGAGACAGAGAAAAGAGAGACAAAAAGGCTATTGAGTCCATTTGGACTTTTGACCGGTACGTCTCTCTCTGCTCCAGTGCCTGGTGGCTTTCGCACGCTCGCTCGCCTCCTGTGCCTGTCTCCCCTCTTCTTCAAGACCTGGTGGATCTCCGTCAGGCCGGGTCTGGCTTGATGAGACGTGTCCTCCTTTCTCTCGGTCTCCCCTGTCTTCCTTGCATCCCTTTGGCTTTTTCTCTGTCTCCTCTGTCGCTCTGTCTCTCGCGTTGGCGTGCTCGAGACTGGTGGGGCTTGCTTTTGAAGAGTCGCGACGTGCTCATGGTACACCAACGCCTGCTCGTTCTGTTGTAGTCTTGCTGCCGCAGCCGTTTCTTCCACGCACCGGCAGCGGCAACTCACTCGGGAAAGGGCTTGTCGACGGAGCTGCAGCTCCTCCAGGCCCATACATCAACATTGCCCAGACCCCAGAGGCCCGCCTACCCTCACGATCCTGGCCGACACTAGACACAGCAAGCGCGGAGAAATGGCGCCCAGCAGCTGATTTCACGCCCGTGTCGTCACCAAACACCTCCCCCCTACCCCCCTACCCCCGCCCTCACTCTGCCCTGAGCTGTAAAGACTCACTTGAGGGCGATCAATCCGGAAAGGACGCTTCTGTCAAAGGACTGGCCCCGGACCTCGGGTCTTGGGCCCTGCGTCTCTGGGCAATCTTGCCTCAAGATCCCCACATTTGATTTCATCGGCACCCCTTGACATGGCTGCTGCGCATGACACACAAGGGCTTGGCCTCTTTGCCACCGGAATGAAGGCCCGCATTGCCATCACGGTTCCAGACTCTGAAGACCCCGTTCTGATCGAGGTTCGTTGGGTGCATCTTCCCCCCACCCCCTTACCCAAGCACACCAACCCATCTGTGCTGACAATGCTCGACCCTGAATTCGATTCATCCGCCCCCTTGATCTCAGGTTGACTCGACGACCAGTGCCAGCCACGCTACGGCAGAATGCTTGCAGCGTGCTCAGCTGACGGCCCCCCGAAACATGATCTACCAGCTAACTGAGGTCTTCAATATCCCACCTATTGAGCGGTTTGTTCAGCACGTTGCCTCCACCAGCCTGCCTGCCTGCCTGTAACGGGCTCGCCTTCTCAACAAACCTGTTTGCTCGGCTCGTCCTGCAGCTGGCTCGGCCCGGAAGAATCAGTCATCAACGTTTCAGCCGCTTGGCCTGATGAGCTTCGCCACATGTGCCGATTTGAGCTTCGCTTGGTATGATCACGATCCGTTTGCGCCTAGTCCAGGGTTCTCGTTGCCCAACGCAATGTGCTTTAACCGCGAGGCGATTGGTATTCACAACAGATTCCAGAAGCGCTGCAAATGCCCGAATCCATGGCTGGCCGCCTCGACAAGCGCGGAGGTATTCTACAACCCTGTTGGATTCACAACCTGATGCCCTTGACCCTCGCCCCCACTTTTCTTTCTTTCTTTCTTTTTCTTTGGTCGTACAAGACGGCCACAAACGCATCATCACATCAAGCCCAACCTCACCTTTTCTGCCTCACCTCTTTTCTTTTTTTTTTTTTTTTTTCACGTAGGCCAACACAAGTCATGGAAAACGCGGCACTTTATGTTGTCCAAAAATGACGTCCGTTGAAGCACTGCATTTGCACATGTCCACAACCTGGCTCACACTCACATGACGCCACTTGCACTCCTCAAACTATAGCTTAAACTCTACTACTACAAGGCTGAGCCCGTCAAAGCGAAACAACTTGATCAACACCTGGGCCAGTGGTCCTGTCGCAACATCTTTGTCTATGCCGTTCGGTACGCAGCATGAATATCCCTGAGCTTCCCCTCACTTTCTCCCATCGCACCCTTCCTTGTCCTTCTTTCGCACAAACCAGTCACCGACATGTACCAACCCTCATCTCTGTGCGAGTAGAAACTATAAAAAAGCACCTCGGCCAGGACTCTGCTTTTGTCTCAAGATTGCCACTGAGCCGCTCTGGCCTGCTACACAAAAGGAGGTGCGCAAGCAAAACACGCTCGATGCCCCTTGGCCTAGTACAAGCCGAGCACTTGAATTGATGCGCTATCGAGTGTGTTCCCCCACCCCCCCCCCCGAATGCAAGTTCATGTGTGCCGAAACTGAAGCCGAGGTAAGCCAGCCGCACTTGCCGCCGCCGCTCCTCGAGCCCTGGGCCCGTTGTTGTTCGTGAGGACGATCTCGTAGCTTTTTATTTCTTCTTCTTTCTTTTTTTTTTTTATATTTTTTTTTAACACCTCGTCCCTGGCAATGCGAAACCTCCTTGGTACTTCCTCCAGCGCATGCAATGGATGATGGCGATTGTCGCGACTGCCTCGCGTGTAACTGATAGCCAGTACGCAAGCCAAACCCGAGGCCAGGTTGGTTGATCACCCCTACGTAACCTCCGCCACAGAGGTCATTGCCAGAGCACACGCCAATTCCGTTCTCACTTGATCTGTGTCCGCTGAGCAGCACCTGGACCACCAGCCACAAGACACGTATGGCGACGTCTACTCAGCCAACGCCACCGTACTTGCGGCTCCCCCGAATGACCAGTACGGCACGATAGCAGACCAATACGCGAGCCCAGAGACAGCCTATGGTGTGATTGAAGACCAGGGCTGGAAGCAAGAGCACGTCTATGGTGATCCCAACCAGCAAGGGGGCGACCATGACAATCCTCACCCACCCGCGGTCAACTATGGTCAACACCTCACCCCGGAGAAAGCCGCCGAGCTTTTTGGCCAAATACTCAATTCGACCGGTCAGCGGCAGCAAGCTCACCCATCCGGGGACGATGATACCTATGATGTAGTGCCCCGCCCTCGACCCGTGGTGTCTGATGCACCGCGCCCCCCTTTGAACCGCGTTGGACGAGCCCATACCGCGCAGCCTCTCAGTGCCAATTATGTCGCCCCAGCTACGCTCACGGGCTCTCGCTACGGGCGCGCATCCACCGAGCGTCCGTTGCCACCGGTCCCAGCTGCTGCTGCTGGTCGCACCCTGTTGCTCGACGCAGATGATCAGGTCTATGACCCGACGTACGCCCAGAGCTCCACTGATGCCAATGACGACACTTACATCCCATCTGGGGGCGATCGCGATGGCTTTCGGAGGCCTACTTTTGTCCGAAACGTACCTCAGACTGCCGGCCTGGCCTTTGACCCTCGGCAATGGGAAACGTCTGATGTGCTCCGATGGCTCAAATTGCACCAGTTGGATGACTTTAAGGAGAAGTTTTACAACAACGGCTTTGTGGGGCGCCAAATCATTGCACTGCGTGCTGAAGATTTCAATGAGCACGGTTTCACCCTGGAACGCTGCATGGATCTCAAAGGTCACTTGGCAGACCTGCGTCAACGCGTGGCGGACATCAAGGCGCAAGCCCGAGCCGGGTCCCAGGCTGCCGCTGCAGCATCGGGAGTCAGTGTGGCTGGTCCGCGGGCCAAGCCACCACCACCGACTCGCAACTCCTCGCTCCGTGATGACGCGTCCGAAGCAGCAGAACAAGAGGGGGAGGAGGCAATTTACGGTGCCCCAAGCAACACACTTGCCCCGCAGGTCCTGATGAACATGCCCACGCTGGCCGAGCGTAGCGTGGCCACACCCGGGGAAGAAGATTGGCACCCGAGCCAGGCCGTGGCTCTTGTTCGACCCCCGCGCGCCACGGCCGTGCTCACACAGCAAGAAGAATACACCGCCCTACCCTCTGCTGCGTCGGCTGGTCCGGAGGAAGAAGAGTATGCAGTGTTACCACGGGCGCAAGCTACCGCAATCAACCAACCCGAGGAGGAATATAGCGTTTTGCCAACTGCTTCCATCTCACATTCAACTGCGGCAGTCACCGCAGTGCAGGCGTCTGAGGAGGAGTATACAGCTTTGCCCGCAGGCCCCGTCAGACGGGCACCACCGCCGGTCAAACCGCGTCCGCGCCCCACCTCTGAGCCGTTGGGAAGTCAGGCTCGTCCTCAAGTAGCTGTTAAACCTCGAGCAGGCACCGCCGTACCGAGCGATCCAAATCCAACGGCGCTGGGCATCTATGAGGTGCCGAGCAACACAAGTAGCCGCCATGACTCGCACCAAAGTTCATTTCGAGGTGAAACGCCGAGCCCAAGTCGACCCGTACTGTCGTCACGCAAGGCCTCCGTTGATGCCACAGTGCCGGAGGAAGCGCTGTACGGTGATCCCGCTCTCGGCATTCAACCCAACCTAGGTAACGACATGGTTGGTGGTATGGACGCGGAGAACCCTGAGAGTTATGGTGAGGCCATCACGCAGGGTGCTGCTGATCCGGAACCCGTGTACCACGAGGAATTGCTTGATGACTACGAACATCCACGCGACTCAGCCTCCATCCCCGACTACGGCAGCGAACTACCCGTCTACCACGAGTACTCATATCCCTACAACGTCAATCGCATGAAGGAGATTGCTGATCACGATTACACGGTTGTGGATGCGTATGACTACTCCACTGTGGATGAGCACCACGAGTTGCGGGCGGCTCCCGGCCAGGTAATGACGGATGACGGTGTCATATACGGAGCGCCGTCTTCCGACTACGATCCTGGGTACGGCGACGTTCGAGACTTTGGGGCCGCACGACACCTCGCTGAGAACGAGGTGACTTATGGCACGGGACACCACGAAATTCGAGTGCAAGTCCCTCCGCCCCTGCCTGCCCAGCGGCCGAAATCCGAGCAACGACATCGTCAGCAACAAGAGCAACAGGAGCAACAGCAAGAAGGCTCCGAAGAATCCAAGGCCCCGCCGGTACCTGCACCTCGCCCACGACCTACCCCCCGCCCGCGGCCCGGACCTCGAGGTGTGATCAATACACTGGCAACGGCTACTCCTCCGACTAGTGAGGATGCGTATGAACCATTGGCTGTCACAGAGGCACCTATGCGCCCCACGTCAACCAGCACTGAGGCTGCCACGGCTACCAATGACATCCCCGTGGAAGAGACACGGCACGAATCTTTATATGGGGATCAGCACATCATTGCTGCCATCGTCAACGAGAGTGAGAATGACACCGACTCGGCCGATTTAGAAGACGTGGAAGAGGTTGTAGCTAGGCGTAGCATCGTACAACCAGCAAGCTCGGATCAGCATGTCGTGCGCGCCGGCTACCATCAACCCACGTCCCTGCAGCAAGAAATGCTGTACGCTGAACCTAGTGCTGTGCTCTCACAGTCTGATGGAACATTGCCCGAGGACGATAAGCACGATGGCGACCGAGGCGATGACATTGCTGCGGCCGGTTCAGATGAGAAGGAGCCATTCTTACCCTCGGACCACTCGGCGAGTGAACTTGCGTCGGAGGCGAGTGAAATGGGCTTGGCCAGCGATTCTGGTGACCCTGTGCAGGAAACTGCAATGCCCGTGTCTCAGGCGATGGCAGGTGACACAGCAACACCTAGCGAATTGGATCAAGCAGAGGCCATTGAACCGGAGGAAGGTCATGAGCTCGAGCCAGTGGCGTTGCTGGACCGCGATGAGCCATATGAGAACTTGTCGGGCGACGCCGATCCCGTGACGGGCCAGGTACACAGCGGCGGCATCATTGACGATTTGCCATACCAGAACCTGTCTTCTTCGGCCAGCGGCCAGGTGGCAGCTGGCACACTAGATGGCGACTTTGAGGAAGTGGATCGCTCCGTTGTCATCATTGACGACGATGCGTACGAGAATCTCAAGGACGACCCTGGGGCGCTCGGTTTGGAGTTGGCACCCGACTCGGAGGATGAGGCAGAGTTGTCAGAGGCTGCTGGATCATCGTCCGCTCGCGCCTCCATGGATGCAACCGCTGGCATGCCAACACCTCCGCCCGCCCACCTTGGGGTGCAGCTCGCCAACGCTGGTCTTGATACCTCTACAGTTGCCATCAACCGCGATGAGCCATACGAGAACCTAAAGGAAGGCGTGCAACCGCACGAGGTGGGTTTAAACGACAACGATGAGATCGACAGCCCCAAGATTGATCACAATGAGGGCTATGAAAACTTACCCGACGCGGTGTCAGGCGACATGCCTGATGAGGCTAGCCAGGCTGAGGAGGCTGGCGAGGCGGAGGTGCCGACTGCAATCTTGACTGCTGACGATCTTGAAGCTTATCAAAACCAAGAGGCTATTGTATCCCATTACGGTACTATTGGACAAGGCGCTGAGGACAGTGCTGTCACTCCCGACATGTCAGGCAGCACCGAAAGTGAGGATGAGGATGAGGCTTTTGTAGGCGTTTCCATTCGGGCAGATGGGGTCTACGAGACAATCGCATGAGCGCGGAACCTGCCGCGTCAGCCGCTGAGCACTGAGTGTGCCTGGGCCGACACCCTGGTTCGTAGGCAGATCTGCTTGTTTGTCTGTTTGTTTGTTTGTTTGTCGCTGTGTTTGTAACAGTCTGTCCCTTCTGGCTCGATCTCCGTGACTGTCTTGTGTCAAAGCTTTAGTGGTGGCAACTGCTTTCAGCCTTTTTCTTTTTCTTCTAACGTACGATCTAAGTGAAGTTACCCGTGGCCCTCGCTGCACGCACCGCCTGCCCACACCATTCTCTATGTCAAACAAGAAACAAGCACCACTCACTGAGCTCCGTCAGCATGTTATGCGCGATGGACATGCCTCCCAAATTGCTGTGACCGAGTCACTGTCGGTCGCAGCCAAATTTTGATCTCATGTATTTTCGCTAATTTCAGGATAATTTTTGCTTATTTTTTAATATTTTTCTTCTTTTTCTTCTTCTTCTTCTCTTTGGTTTGTTTTTTCGTGTGCGCGTGTTCGAGTGTGATGTTGTCGGTGGTCTGGAGTGGTAGTTTGCTAAAGAAGCTTTGCAGCATGTTGAGCGGGCCCTCTTTCCGGGCGGAGAGGGATATGGAAAGACATGTCGTCACACTCAGAAAGCGAGCAGGTCTTGTTGCAGCGTGGTAGGTCTGAATTTTGGTTAAAAAAACACCGCAGTTTTTGGTTTTTGTAAAGTCACTCAGATGCAGTATCAACGAACATACAACGAGTCCCTTCTCCTTTTATAAATGTCTCAAGCGAGGAGTGGTGATCCTTTGATTCATTCATGTGAACTACCGAGGCAGGAGCGAGTGGAAGAGAGACAAGGGAGAGGTGGCCGTGGAATAGATTGTCACGCGTTCGAAATTTATCAAATCAAAGGAAAAAAGTCAAGTAGCTGCCGAGACGTGGCAGAGACTCGGGTGGGTGATGTCGGGCTCGCGCAAAAGCTGGCACTTAAAAGTTGAAGCGACTGGCTTTTTGCTGCGACTTGGAGTAGACAAAAAGGCCACCAAAGGTGGCAGCGATCAGGACCACAACGACAACGCCGACCCAGAACCAGGAGCCTTCTGCGTCGGGGTTTTCGTATTGGATATCCTGGCCCTTGTGGAGAAGCTGATCGGGGTTCTTTTGTTCAAGAACCTCGTCCTCGTGAATGCGGTCCATGAGCTCCTTCTTCTCTTCGGGGTCCATCTCCACGGGTTCGGAGACCTTGAAGCTGATGATGTCATGGTTGTCGGCCAAATCACCAGTGGCAGCGGTGACACCAAAGTGATAGCCCGGGGGAAGGTGTACACGGCGCACCACAAAGCACTCGTGCCAGTTGCCAGTGTTCAGGTCGAGGTGCATCCGCAAGATCTTGTCTTGGTAGATGATGCGGGCATGATAGGGCACTTCGTCGCTGCGGCTACGGAAGCGAAGCGGGCAGCCGGCAATCTTGGCATCACCGCCATCCACATCATGATCGTAGGCTTGTTCGCCATCACCAATCATGACGCTGATGTACTGTTGGTGACCCTGTTGCACGTTACTGTAGGTGTCGAAGAAAATGCCAAGACCGGTAAACTTGTCGCGATTGCCAAAGACGGGGCCCATTTCCTCTGATTCTTTGGTGTACCACACGGCAAAACCATCACCGTACAGACGCACACCTAGCACAATAATAAAACGATCATCGTGAGTTGGCAGCATGGCCGTGGCAAAGAAATATCGAGCATGGCTCGGTTGGATGCACACCTTGGCCATGCACATGAAAGCTAATGTCAAGCTGGAAGTCACTCATGGAACCCTCATCCTCGGGCACTTGGGTTGCCAAAAGCTTGTAGGGGCGGGAGTTCCACAGGTAACCGCGGCGCGACTGTCGATGTTACAGGACATGAAGGTGTGAGAGCATGCCAACTGCGCCATTCAGAGGAAACCAGCATTCTTGTCCAATTTCGAGACACCACACCGACCTGGCGATCGGGTGTAAGACGGATGTAGCTGTCCGTGACCAGAGTTGATCCACCAATGCCTATCAACGAGGCCAAGAGTCATGATCGTACGAAAAAGAGGTGAGCAGCAAGTCGGCGCACACTCGGCGTAGGCGCGATTGATAGAAGCTCGCAAGTGAACGACACGTTTTGAACTAGAGCAGCGTTCACTGGTCCACTGCTCCTCTCTCTCTCTCTCTCTCTCTTTATTTTTTGCGGCCAAGCACGACTTACGCCAGTGAGGGATGTCCATTCCACTGTTCATGTAAGGGTGCTAGACAAGAGAAACAGATAGTAACAGTGCTGAGTGAGTGCAGCCATCAATGGACAGGCTCCAGCTTTGCGATGCGACCCGCCCTCTTCGGCTGAACGCGTGACCTCGGGCACTGCCAACGACTTTTGCGCACGCATTCAACGCAAGCGATACCACCATGCAAACCCTCCTTTCCGCAAACCCCTACCCCTCCCACCCCTCCCACCCCAAACATACCGCAACTGTATGATGCTGGTAGACATAACCAGCCGGATCATGACCCAGGCTCTTGCGCGAGGTCACGACCGCGAGCAGGGTCGCCGCCACCAGCAGCACGGCCGTCATCGTGGACCGCATCGCAAAGGGTCACTGTTCTAAAGTCACGTAAAATATATATGTTCAAAATTACTGTTCTGGCATTCGAACGAGTGTCATTCTTCTTTTCTGTGCCTCTGCATCGTGCTTTATTGGTCTTCTTGTCTCTGGCTGAGCTTTGGATTAGCGTTGCACGAGGTGCCAGATTTCTTCATATCTCTGATCTCTCTGTCTCTGTCTCGGTCTCTCTCTCTCTCTCTCATCCGTATTGTTGATGTTTTGTGGTCGGCGCGCGATTTCAAAGCTGCTGAACTCTGATGAGCGGCGGTCTTGATCTCTCGGCAGGTGTGCGTCTGGGCGTGTCGTTGAGGCGGTGGTTTGGGTGTTGAGTTGTTCAGGTGCTTGCAAAGCTTGAGCGTTCGAGTCTGCCAAAGTCGGCTGGTCTCTGGGCTTGCTTGCATGCTCGATTTGCTTGAGGGTGCGAGTAAGTGTCAGCGTGTTTGAGGCTGCATGAATCGCTGTCCGGCGTCTGCACATCTGCACGATCCTACGATCGCGTGCCTGGGCATTTCCAACGTCCTTGTCCCTGTCAGCTGTGCAATCAACTTCTTTTGTTCCTATCGGCGTGTTGGAAACAAGTGCGTCAGAGCTAAGGTCTGCCCCGTGGCCCCGTGGCCAGCCCGGATCAGTAGTCAGGTCATGCCTTTTGGATCGAGACGTGCGCCCGTGCAATGGGGGAAATGGATCCTTGGGCTGGGTGTCTTGCTCAGACTGACAGATGCACTGACGTGTCCCAATTTCCTACTGGGCCCAGCCCCGGCGGATGGACCGAATCAAAACTTTGTTTTGCTTTTTGACACACCCGCGACGCCCAATGATGCTCAGAGCGTAACCTGTGTGCCCAATGTCAGCACGCCCTTGGCGCTCGGGGCCACGGGCACCCTGGTTTGCATTGCACGAGATCACGCGGGACTCGAAGTGGCCACTTGTCAAGTGGCATACGCAGTCGCTGACGCCACCCCGCCCTTGATATCCTGCCCAGCCGACATCAGCGCTGACAATGACATTGGCTTGGCTTTGGGCCAGGCCCGCTTTGCCGATCCCAGCGTCGTGGACCAGTCCGTCACTGACCTCAGCTGCGTTCCCTCCTCGGGTGCCCAACTACCTCTTGGCCAGACCCAAATCAACTGCACCGTGACCGATGCCTTCAACCTCTCATCCTCATGTCTCTTCTCGGCGACGATCCGCGATGTCGAAGCTCCAAACATCAATTGTCCGACCAATCGGTATCGTAGCGTGACGGCGCCAAACACAGAGGGAGACGTGTACTGGAGTGCGCCCTTTGCCGGCGACAACAGTGGCGCTGGCGTAGACACTTTTTGCTCGCATTCACCCGGCACCGTGTTTGCCCTGGGTACCCATGTGGTCGCATGTAATGCCACAGATCCGAGTGGCAACACCGCCTTCTGCTCTTTCCTGGTCACAGTCAGTGATGGCAATACAGACTGCTATGAGCGCTGGAGTGCGTGGAGTGCGTGCAGCAACTGCCCTCAACGACAGATCGCCAGATGGTGAGCTGGACCTGGGGCTTTTTGACTCGAGTCAAGGCTAACTGCCAGATCTTGGCTGTCCATTACTCTTGTTTGGGCAGAACACCGCTGCGTGAGCACAGGCGTTCTGAAAGGCAAGCCAATTGCACTTCGCCCAGCATTGTACCAAAAAAGAAAGTTTTGCTGATTTCAACAGTCAAGTCTTCGTCATGCAACTCCGAGGTGTCGGTTGAGTTTTTTTTTCTAAATTGCTTGGTTTTCATGGCAGGCCGAGGTTATTTTTTTATTCTATGGTCCTGAGCCATGCTCCTGGCTGTGCAAAAGACGGGCTAGCATCGAAGTTTGGGTGCGCATGCACATTGACAACGAAAAGGAAGAAGGTTAACAAACAGTCAAAGAGACAAAAACAAAACAAAACAAAACAATCAGACAAAAAAGACGAGGAGGACTGCTGGCAGTCGAGTCCAAGATCACTTGCTGATGATTGCGAGTAGTTCCTTGGCCGAATCTACTCAAGGCGTCGTCCACAAGCAACAATGAAATCTGGAGGCAGGGCAACAGCGTGCATAGCCAGACTACGTACAGGTTGTGTTCTCTTTCAACAAGCCTTGCGCTTTCAAGAATTCAGCCAAGACCTGGCTGGAGATGGTGATATCCTCATCTGCGTACGAGTCAAAGGCCGTTATGAGCAAAAGTAGGGCGGGTATGGTGGTGCAGACCAATGATCAAGCCAAACCTTGATCCACGAGAGGGGCTTTGGCATCTTCCACTGTTGATTCATCATCAAGGTCATCGAAGAGCTTAGCTGAGCCATTGGTCTTGGTCGTTGCCTTGGGCTTACCACCCTGCAAAAGTTGAAGGAGGCAGTGTTATAAGAAAGGAAACCGACGAATAAAGTGTCAACCTCAGTTCAGTCATGCTGATGCCCCCGGGCACGGTGTGGGGAAGGTCAAGTCGGCACGCTCAAAGTACCAATGCAAGAGGACAAGAGGGCAGCTGCAGACTCACAAAGAGCTCATCATCATCATCCTCATCGTCATCAAAAAGGCTGGTCGTCTTTTTCTTGGGCGCTTCCTCAGCTACGTTCTCAGACACCTGGACGGGTTCTGGCTCTTCTGCCGCCGCAGGTTCGGGTTCGGTCTCCTTGACGGGTTCCTGTTCTGGTTCGGGTTCGGGCTCCTTTGCGGGTTCGGGTTCGGGCTCTTTTACGGGTTCAGGCTTTGTTTCCTCACGACGTTGCGTGACGGGACTGCTAGAGGCAGCCTTGCCATCACTATCCGACTTGGCACGGCTGGCCTCGCGGCGAGCTTTGCGGGCCTCCTCGCGCAAGCGACGGCGTTCTTCAGCATCCTCCACAACGGGACCCTCAGACATGCTCTGCGAAAAAAAACATTGTTGAGGGAGTGTGTCCAATTGATTGTTGAAGGCAAAATAAACAACGTACCCAGCGTGAGCTCGAGGCCTCGCTGTCAGCATTATCCACTTCGGGCTTGGCCACTGGCTTGGGCTCGGGCTTGGGCTCGGGCTTCGACTCAGGCTTGGGCTTGGTCGCAACATCTGGCTTGGAACTGACAGACGGTTTCCTGTTGATGGAGGGTTTGCGCCCAACTTTGGGCTTGCTGACGGATGGCTTGCGTGTGCGATCTGAAATTGACAGGCAAATGCATATGGCATGGGTCAAGGGGAAAGGCAGAAAGCGGATCAAGCGGCTGAGGTTGATAATGCTGGCGCCCACACCTTCGTCGTATTGGATGCCCGAGCCGGTGCTTGTGGATGCCTGACCCTGAAACTTGGACGTATCAAGGATGTTGTCTTGAATGTTCCTGCAACCGGACACAGGCGCAGTTTGCGAGTGTGCATGTATGTGAGGTCAATAGCTAGGTTGCCATGGGTCACAGTGTGCTTCATGGGGAGGAATCATACTTGCGAGCCTCAGTGGGAGGAGCGACCATTTTGCGGCCGTTCAGGTCCACGGGGGTGGTGGAAGGGAGGGCGGAGGTGACATAGGTCACACTCTTGATGTTGCCTTCCTTCTCTTTGGCTTGGTACGCCTGCAGTGCCTTCTTGCGGAGGGATGAGGCCTCGGACTTGTAACCCGATGCATTTGAGCCCGTATCGTAGTCAGCACCACCAGCCACCTGAATGAAATCATAGGCAGGCGTTGATCGGACAGGTTGGCCGGTGAGGATCAATGTTGTCAGATAGGGCTACTGCCAGGGCGCCAGAGAGCAGCTTTGTCGGCGGCGGACCTTGAGCTTTTTGCGGATGATGGCTTCGGAGCACTCGCGAGTGTTATCAGCGGAAAGATCGACATTGCATTGCTAGAGTCATCGAGAGCGTATGAGGTGGTGAGTGAAAAAAACCAAAAAAAAAAAAACCCAAAAAAAAAAAAAACCCAAAAAAAAAAAAAAACCAAAAAAAAAAAAGAAACAACAGCAACAACTACTTTGCGAGCGTCATGTTGAAAAAGAAGAAAAAGAGTGGGTGCGTGGCCGCATGAACGTACGCCGAGGAGTGGACGAATGGAGCCCACGTGAACACCGACACGTCCACGTGCCAAGCCTGTTGTGATGTCCAGGGTATGCCAGGCACGATTGTGGGGCACGTCAAAGGCCCATTAGGTTTAGACAAAAAGAAACAAGGGCCAAGAAAACACATGGTCATGGTTGCAGTCGTGGACCACGATCATGCATCGATGGTACAGCCGAACAGCCAACACGGGCAAGTGCAGGTGAGCGAGGTTTGGAGGATGGTGATGCATTCGTACCACCGACGTTTTCGCCGGCAAAGGTGATGGAGACAAACTTGATGCGCTTGGATTCTTGGTCACCGTCGGCCAGTCGGAGCAGGCAGAAAAAGACCTAGAGTATAAGATATGCATTGTGAGAGCCGCCCGGATGGCGCACAGTTGCATAGATGAGGCATTCGTGGGTGCCGTGTGCTGTGTGTGCTGTGTGTGGTGGGCTGACCTTGCTGTCATCAAGCATTTTCATGAGTTCGGCATGGCCTCCGCTGCCGGTGCCCTTGAGTACGAGGGTGTTCTTGCCCTCGTAACCGACGGCCAGCCAATCGGTGTCGGTGACATCACTGCGGACGTCCTCGACGGCTTCGCGGATGCGGGGATCGCTGACATCAGCCATGATCAAAAGGTTTGCTGAAGAGTTGGGAAGGAATAGACTAAGCGTGACGCGAAGATATGGAAGTCAAATGCAACGAGGTGAGAGTGGGCTGAAAGCGGAACGTCGGTGCTGTGCTTTGGTTGGTCAGTTTTGTTCACAATCAAGGGGCCAGTTCAGCATACCGGCAGGAACTTTAGGCGAGGGGGCGGTCCGTGCCAATTGAAGCGTCGGGAGCGTGTGGGGCTGGCACTATTTAGGATCCACGACGCACATATCAACGAGTACATGAGCAGACGCGTGCTGTCAGTGCTTTGTATGGCCGCACTTGCGCTAGCGTATCCCGGTCCGTTGGATGTCAAGCTCCGCCCCCTCTTCTTTACAGGACACAGAAGGGAACGCAAAGACCGCGGTACACAGAAATGCAATACCACGACTGAACCAACGAAACGCATCGAACAGCACGACGAGCACGCAGTCCCCTGCACTTTCGATTCGAATCACGGCAACGAGTCGCGGGCGATGGGATCGCGGGCTCGCGGGCGACGACGACGGTTTGCGGCGCTCGAGCGATGGACGGCCTTCACTGACCTGAACGGAAATCCGATCGACAACAAATAAACAACACACAAGAGCAACAGTTGATTTCAACGATAGGACGGTAAATTTGAACAGATGAAAGCAACGACAACAGCTAGTTTGTACAAACACCTAACGGGTTCCTGGAGGGAGAATGAATCTCCACCAGTCTCCTCGCAGACTGGGATTATCGATGTAAGGAAGAATCTGACAATTGAGCGCGTCGCAGCTTGCATCATGGTAATGGCGTCAAGGATGCATCTTCTGCACGATTCCCATGCCACGCAATTCTTGGTTGGATCTTGCCGGATTCGCTAAGTCGGTGCTAGTAAGTGACCGGGCTTGCCCATCTATTATTGCCCGCGCCTTTGCCTCCCCCGCCCTCCTCTTGGTGCCTTTTTCTTCCAACGCCTTATTCGTGGGATGGGGTGCAGGTAGTCGTCCTTGCCCCTTAGCACTCGACTCTCGAGAAGCGTCTCGTCTCTCCGAGCCATGCTTCCAACCAAGCGTCAGAGTTGTGCAGAATGGTTGTGCTTCTAATCAGAATAAGGGAAGTGAGTTGGGCAACAGTAGCGATGACATTGTATTCGTGCTTCAAGTGTCGACCACACTGTGTTGATCGGTTCATCATCGTCGGCCCGCGCTGTTGGCCCGGCAATTCCTGCCTATTGTTGGTTGGCGCGCACGGAGGAGTGTCCATTGAGCCACTGGATCAGGGTAATTCGTTGGTAAACCTGAACCTGCTTGGGGTTAGGACGCCTCGACTGCCACGTCCGCACACACGCTTTTCCTCAAAAAAATTGTCGGCGCATGGGCCTATCAAGTGCCGCCCAGCATTACTACATCAGCACCAACGGTTCAACAACGGGTTCACCAACTTTGGGAAAGAATGCTTGACAACACCTGCTGACGGGGGGGGTGTGTCGGAGCGGTCCATGATGTTCTGACGCAGTTTGTAGATGTTTCCCAACAATTGGTGGCGGATTATTCTCGTGAAGCATCTCCATCATCCCAAACCTGTGCTTATTATTATGTTAACTGAGAGGAAGCTTCTTGAGCTTCAGCATCGCTCAGACATGTCGCCCAGAGTTGACGAGAATGAGCCAGAAACCCCCATTTCCAGATCGTACTGCCGAAGAGACACTGGGGCTTTTGGGGCGACGCGAGGAAAAGGGCAACAGGAAAAGGGACTGAGGCCCTCGGAAAGCGCGCGCGGTCGCGGCATGCATGCACGTGGGCAAGCGCACAGGGCGCGCGAACCTTCTTTTCGACCCGTTCTTTTTCAATGTGATGGGTGAGGAGCGGGCCCACGTTGATGAGCAAGCAAGCGACATGCACAAGGTTGTTCGTTCGACCAAGGATGCATCGCGTGGCAATTCGATAAAACTCCGGATGCAAATTCCCCAAAATCATCGGTTCGTAGAACCAAGCCCCTTTTCCGCGGAATTGTCATCCTTTTAAAGCCAACCTTTCACCACCCACACTCTTTCATCAACCCAGCTTCGTCTTGCATTACCAACAGAATTGAGGAGAGAATTATCTGTGGGTGATGTGGGCTTTCAACAAGTCCTTACCAACCCCGACGCATACATTTGACCTGATGCAAACGAACACGAACGGCCTTAACATGGAAGATCGGCCACAGTGGATTGGGTCGCCCCATTACCATGAGCAGCTTGGATGTATGCACACCCGTACACATGGGGTAGTGGGTTATCGGAGACACATTTGTTCAGGGTGCCTGACAGTTCTGAAAAATTATCACACTCAGGCTCATGCCCCGTGAGCGTTGTTGGCGGGGCTGTCTGCCTCGAGCCATGCTGTGCAAAGAGAGGTGGGTGGTGGTGGTGGATGCCTCTTGCCAACCCTGTTGGATGGGTTGCCCCCCGCGGCTCCCTTCTATGGCCGTCTCTGACCGCCTTCCGGCACATTTGGGTCATTTCGTTCGAATCGTGAGATTCAGGTCACGCGCTCACGGGACACTCACTTGGCCAACTCTCCCCGTCGATCATTCTTGCTGCTCGCCCTCCCCCTTTGAATCCGAGGTTGTCTCAGCATCCACCTCTTGCATCCTCACCAGTCAGCTCTAGGAACAGGGGTGGGCACACACTCTCCTCTCCCACCCCCTTCCATGTTTTCCTGACTTCATGCTGATGAAACGTCATTTTATCTTCATGCGTTCATCTCTTTGCTCGGGCATCCCCTGTTACCCCCCCTCCCTGTCGCGGCTGCCGTTTGCCTGGCCATCCTCAAATCCGCTTCAGCCCCCCGCCTAGCCTCTCCCAATCCTCGCTTGACCGTTCCGTAAACCTTTTCTTCGCCTTCGAAACCAGCCCCCTTCTTTTCCGTCGTCACTGCTCGTCGTCGTCGTCGTCGTCCTGCCCTCCTGCCTCCACCCGTTGGCCGCAGAGCACCCACCATCCTCTGCCCTCAACCAGGCGGGCTTTTGGTGCTGCCCTTGATACCAACCCCCTTTTTTGCTGGCAGTGGTCGGCTTCAAGCCCCCTTTGCCCTGCTTCCGTAGCCACACCCTGCAAAGGGCAGTCACTAATAATTTGAGGTCCCCTCGTTTGGGGTGGCCCCAGTAGACGGCCAGTTCCCCAATAAAGTACCAGCGAGGACCTTCGTCGGCGCTTTTCTGCCTCCACCACAAACCATCGCTGTGATGCCCTCCTCTCCACAGCTTCGAGGGCATGTGCCATCACCACAGAGCTCTATAGCGGCCTCTACCTCCGCGCCAGATGATACGAGCCAAGCAGCCGCCAAGGCTGCACGCATCCAGCTCCGGTCTGCCCCCCAGGTTGCTAGTCCCGAGGACAAAACCACGGATACCTCCTCTTCCTCTGATTCAAAAGCCCTGGAAAATCAGGCCTCTTCTTCTTCTGATAGCGACAATGGTTCCTCCGAACGTGAAAGCTCATCACCCAGCTCCGCCTCAAATCTTGCTGGCCAAACAAATACGACTACGTCTGCAACCGGCTCAAACTCTTCTGCTTCTCGAGATGCTGATGGCGAAAGCTTGGCCAAGCGTGCCAAAACTGTGCCTGAATCGCAGAAACGCACCGAGCCCTTTTCTTCGGGCGAAGACAGCACCCAGAGCGATGACGACGATAATCAGCGCGACGATGAAAAAGACGATGAAGCTCTACCAGATGATGCTGATGCTCAGCAACATGCTGACGGCCATTTCGCCTGCCCGGTATGTTGAAGCTTGCTCATCCTTTTTTCCCCCATCCAGCTCTGCAGCCACTGGGCTCCGCTCGTTTGGCTTGCGCGGAGTAGCTGTCCTGCCCTAATTGCTTTAGCAACGCCCGCGTCGTCGCAAACGTGTATCACAGACTTGTCATCGCACTTTTTGGCGTCGAGCACACCTTCGAAGAGTATGTCCACTGCACAACACATACACGTAGTCCACCTGCGTGCTCCATGATTTGATGCGCTTACTGGACCAACGACCCGACTCACGCCACCATATTTGTTGACTCATCATTTCCTTTCCACCAACCTCTTAGCACGAGAAGATTCATTCGCAAGAGTTTGAATTTCAGTGCGAATTTTGCGACAAGCGGTATCATCGCAAGGATCAACTAGACGTTCACAAGCGCACCCATACCGGGGTAGGCCCTTTGTTGCTGTATTGAGACGGACTACAGATTTGACATACTAGCATGCCAATCATGTCTTGCTCATCTTGCCACTTGACAGGAGCGGCCGTACAGCTGTGGCCACCCAGGATGCAAGAAGCGTTTTACACAGCGGGGCGCACTCACACGGCACCAAAAGATCCACGAACGGTTCGTTTCCCAAAGTCTTGTGCTTCTTCTTTCCACCGTTCTCAGCGTCAGCACACGCCCACCAGATCTGCACTCATTGCATTTTCTGCTCATTGCATTTGTTGCACATCTTGATCGCATCCACGGCAGTGACTATACGTGTCGATTCTGCGCCAAGGTCTTTCGGAACAATCGTGACGTCGTGCGTCACGAACAAAAGCATTTGGACCTGTCGAGCACGTCCTCCCATGTGTCGACCAAGAGTCGCAGCAACACATCTTCGCAAACATCGAGTCATGCCGGGTCGTCCGGTTCACCGCCGTCTGACAATACCGCCAGCGGCTCTGGAAATGGCAGCCATGGGGACAGCTCGTCCGGTCGTGGTACGATGCGCACAGACAAGAGCAGCCGTCACGAACGCAATCTATCGAGCTCAACCATGCAAATGTCCATGCCAGCTTTTGTCAACCCGCACATGCCCCATACCTTCATGTACCGCAACCCGAATATGATGATGTCGCCGGCCTTTGTGCCACAGATGCCACCCATGTACAGCATGCCCATGGGCCACGTGCCCCCCGGTTATGGCCCCAGCATGCAGACCATGCAGAACATGCAGACCATGCAGAACATGCAGAACATGCAGAACATGCAGAACATGCAGAACATGCAGAACATGCAGAACATGCAGAACATGCAGAACATGCAGGAGATGCCACCCATGCAGAACATGCAGAACATGCAGAACATGCAGGAGATGCCACCCATGCAGAACATGCAGGGGATGCCACCCATGCAGAGCATGCAGAGCATGCCGCCCATGCAAGGCATGCATGCGGCTCACGGTGGGGCATCTGCTATGGATCAGCAGCAGGGCATGCTTCAAACCGGAGACGCCCGACACGTTACATCCATGGGCAGAGCAGGCGGGTACATGTTGCCGCCACGTTCGACACCGCTGTCGTTTGACGGCAGTGGTTCGGAAAGCGCCTTCTTCGTACCCTTGACGACTGGCAGCAGTAATTACTACGGGCCTCTTGAGCACCTCAAACGACAGACGTGGCGCGGGGAGGCTTCCCCGCTGGGCCAAGGCATGCAGGCCATGGGGATCAACACACCGCTCTCAGAGGCTTCTGACCCCTCCTCTTGGCCTGTACCCTTGAGCTACGGCTTGCCGTCAAATGGAGCAGGTGACATGTGCACTCCTCTCGCCAGCGGAGCCGGCTGGCCGATGCCCGAGCAGTTACCATTGAATCCTAGCGCCGCTTTGGGGGATTCAGCCGACCGTCTCTAAGGCTTGATAGGTTGGATGACAACAGCTCGACTCGAGGCCCTCCTTGGCTTGAAGCGGTCCAGCTCAATTGCTCCTCGCTCGCTGGACGTCTACGCTGTGTGTGTGTGTGTGTGTGTGGAGTATTTGTTCCCATTTTAGCATATTCCATAGCGCGGTGGTTGTTTGCGTGTGTGGTCTTGGTGTGATCCTGCCTTGATTGCGTTTCTGTTTTTGCTTGCATTGCGTTTTCAACTCCTGTGAGGTCATGCCATGTTCCACGTGCGTGGCTGCTTGTTTTACTGTCCTCCCCCTACCCTGTTGTTCTGGGCGTTGTGAAGCATCCCGGCGGGCTGAGCCCGGGCAATGTGACTCATTGTGATGCCTTTCAAGCGGAGAGCTGGCAGACCCCACAGTTGACCTAATTGACCCTCTTCTCATTCACCTCGCATGTCAAGTCAAGTGAGTGCCGTCAATAACACAAGACGTGGTAAGGTCTGTGACCAGCATATGGGCCAAAGCTCGATTAGATCACGGGGCCAGGGTGCGGCATGTTCGCGTCCCCAACCTTTTGAGTATGGAAATCCTAGATAGACACTGTCAAATTTCTTCCTCGCCTGCAGCAGGCCACTCAAACAGGTGTCGAGCAGGGCGAGGCGGGGTGGTTGGGAGACAGTGTGAGGCACAGCCTCCTTGAAGCTTAAGTGTGCAAGGGTTTCTCCATGACAATGAGGCGGGCCTCGGTGGCAAGATGGTTGTTGAGTCGACCGGCGAGAGGCAGCTCTGCGCTTGAGCCGGTCAGGGCAAAGCCAAGCTGACCATACCACCTTTTGAGGGCCTCCTTCATGGGGTGGTCCCAATGCAGAGGATCAAGGACGTACAGCCGCATAAACGCGCAGCCGGCAGCGCGCGCTTGCGACTCGGCTGCAGCATACAAGCGCTTACCCAGCCCATGGCGACGGAGAGTAGCATCAATGGCGAAGAAGCCAATTTCTGCTCCCTGCCGGCCATCTTCCTCAAACACCTCGCACTTGATACAGCCCACAGGACGCTGCTGTCCTTGAGGCTGCGCCAAGATCAGCTTGCCCCGCTCCAACAGCTCGCGCACCTCCCCAGCATCGGTCCGATGAAAGGGCTCCTCCCAAATATTCCCTTCCCCCCACCGATAAGCCTCATTGACAATCTCCGTCAGCGCAGCCACATCGCCATCGCTCCAGGTCGTTCCCCCAACCGCCGCCGCCGCCGCCGCCGCCGCCGCCGCCGCCGCGTTCACAGTAAACTCCTCCTCCATCTTGTCGTGAAATCCCACCGCAACCACAACCAGACGAATTATGTATTATACTTTTAAACCGCCCCATGACAAATATCAGCATGTCAGATGTTCTGGTATTGTCAGACTTTTCATTCTGAGAGAGAGAGTGTGTGTGTGTGTGGAAGCGGCACCAGATGAAAAACTGCGGACAGTCGTGCGCTACGGGACTGTACAGTGTCTTTTGGCGATCCCTCGATTCACATGTCAAGGTAAGCGTTGGTGATCCCTCTCCTTAAGGTAAGAAGAGCAGCGCAGGCCATGCGGAGAACAGTGGGGGAAAGGGGTGGGAAGATAAAGACATTGGTCAAGCGTGGTGGCTCGGGTTCGGCAAGAGTAATGCCAGCTCCCAATCCTCGGCCACGTCCTACTTGAGGCACGATGTAAGCGCGGACATGCTATTCCTGGTCTTGACAGCATTTTCCGGTCTTGCGGGCTCAGTATCAGGGCCGTCGGCTTGCTGCGCTTTCCACCACTCAGCCAGAAGGGCTGATCCTGCCGCACCGCGTGCTCGCAGCAAGCGCCAGCATGGGCTGCCAAGCCAGCCTGCCACGACCACCGCCGCCCCTCCTGTATGGCGGTCAAGATCACATGCCCCGGCACCGCTCACATCTCTCGGCAATCTCCACGCGGCGCGCACCCGTTTCATGTGGGGCACTCGTGCGCACCTGCAACTTGAGTGGATCAGCGCCCAACATCATTTGTTTGCTGGGTGGCCCTGGAAGTCACAAGGGGCAGCTGGCGGCACATCTGGCCGCAGCTTTTGATGCGACTATCATCAACGTGCAAAGCCTGGTCCTGGCCCATCTTGGCAAACAGACGGGTCTCTCAACCTCTCAACTGCTGGCTGCGCTGCGCGACACAAAGGCAGCCATTGACTTTGACTTGGTGCGTCGACTCGCTGTCGTCATATCCCACACCCCTCCCAACTCTGCACCCCAGCCCGTGTTGGCCAACAGTTGACAGATAGCGCCCGCGATACTTAGACTCTAGTGTTTACCCAAGCGCAAGCAGCCATTGCGAGCCTGCCTCTCCGTCCTGGCGCCTTGGTTGTGCTGGACCTTCTGCCAGACCTGAGCTCCTTGTTACAGCATCCTGCCTGGAGTGCTGCCAACGTCACCGCCTTGTCCTTTGCCCATATCAATCAAACCGTACGACACTCGTCCTTTTGCTGGTTCTGGTCAAGCGCCCTGTGCCAGGAGCGAGCGGGGGAGGGACGCTTCTGATCAAACTGGTGGTGTGAATCTACCTTTATTCAGAAGCTCAGTTGCTTTGCAGCCCTGCATGCCCAAGCACCCCTTCATCCGGCCCTTGCGGGCCGTTGTAGTTCCGACACAACACCCCTTTGTAGTCGCTCGACTACAGCTGCAGTCCATGCGCGCAGTCGTGTAAGCCAACTTTCTCGCCCCATTGTGGATCATGCATGCACCTGCTGTGACGCTTGGCTTGCTGGTCCATGAACACTTTTTTGCTTGTTTTTGCATCCGGGGGATATCAGGAGGAGGAGGCTGTACGTCGTTCTTGGCGGCGCTTTGTGGCCATCAGAACTGCTGTTGAGCCGTTGTTGACATACTTTCAGGAACAACAACGACTCATCACGTTTTCTCCGGCGTCTCAAGCCGAGGGATGGGAAATGGCTGTGAACGCACTGGGTGACCTCTTGCGTGAGCTGGGCGTCTGCCCTCGCCCTTCCCCCAGCATGAATCTAATTGCGACCTCCCACTTGATGCAACCCGCCCTGCTTTTGTTGATTGAAGGTTGGCTGTGTCTCTCGATGGCGCACATTCTTATTTGCTTTGCTTATTCCTGCACTCCCTCATCTTGCATCCGCCGGCGCTCTGCAGAGGCGGATCAACTTGAGCTACAATCCCTCCAGCTGTCCGCCCCCATCACGGTATTGCACGCGGTCAAGGGGAACGGCTTGCTCAGATGAATTTCTTGACTTGTTTCATTGATACATCGCCACTCAGGTGTCGTAGTAAAGCAGGGCCACCGGGCGTTGCAAGCTCACATGTCCCATCCTGATTTGCTTTGGTGTGACGACAGTGTTACGCGAGTCAACCGCCTAAGGTACTTATGGGTGGGTCCGTAGCCTTGTGGGCACCGGTAAGTGGATCACATGTGTACTTGCGGCTTCAGCGAGCAATCTCTAACATCCGGCGGGTATCACACGTTCACATGTGTGTAGGGCAGAGCATGGCGGGCTGAGGTGGAGGCTGATGTTTTGCTGGCGAGGGAGCAATTTCGTGATCTACCCAAGGCTCCGCGCGATAGTATTTTAAATGGGGTACGAACCGACGCTTATTCTGATGCTGATGTGTTCAAGGCCTGTCACTTGATACAGGTTTGTGGTGTGATGGCGACGGGCGCAGGTGGGCAGTTTGAAGCGCTTTGATTGTCGTCTCTACCATCGCGCGCTGCTGATTGGTGCACCGGCTTCTGCGCCACGAACTCTGCTGTACCACTTGGTCAATGTGGCTCGGGCCTTGCACTTGCAGCCGTCGCCCTGCTTTACGCAGCTCTCAGCACATCGAACGAACTGTTAAGCATCTTTTTCGCAAGGTTGTGAGACGATGGGAATGGGAGAGCACTGGCTCTGCGACCTGGCCTGTTAGTTCACTTGCCCTTGCCCTTCTCACGTCCTTCCGTGATTTCGGGGATTGCTTTGCTTAACGACAACGCATGACGAGGGCGACGGTAAGTCTTGAGAGGCTGGAAACAGCACGATTCGATTAATCAGGAATTCTGTCTGTCTCTCTCTCTCTCTCTCCATCAGTCGGGCCTAAGCGTCGTTGGAACGAGGGAATACACGGGTCAAACACAAACGAGAGGACATGCAACAACATCGAAAACCAGAGAGATGGGTCACGCCACAGCTGCTGCCCAAACGACTATGAACAAGGCAAGTCGGAACGTCAATCAAAGGAATCACAGGGCTCAACAGCGGACAACAATGGTCTCAGACCACCGAAGCGAAAAAGTCAACGAGCTGCGCAAAAGGCCAAAAATTGGCGATCGAGGGGTCAAAGGTCACACATCATGCATTGACAATCGAGGCCCGTTTGACCGCAGGGTGCGAGGGGGGTCTGTGCAGGCACGGCCGGCGGCGAGGGCAGGGGGGACGCTCTGTGAACTAGCAGCTGCTCAGCAGCACACGCAAACCGATGGAGGGAGTCCAGGCCCCATTCGGCCGCCAGCTGGGCCAGAGCGGACCAGTGTTGCGGGGGAAAGTTGGGCGGAGGTAGGGCGCGCGAGTAGATAAATTGAAGACAGCGGGCGACGACGACGGGGTGATAGGGTACGACGAGCTTGCCCCCGTCAGCGCGAACTCGAAACTGCAGGGCTAGGCGAGGGGAGACGGCGGCCAGGACTGTGCGATGAGCACGGAAGATCTTGCTGTTGGCAGCCAGAATTTTGAGGTCACTATAAGTGCCGGTGGTGAGCAGGGCTGAAAGGTCGAGTCCCGGCTCGGCGGGCGCGGCCCGAAGCTCGCTGTCAGGGAGGGGGTCAGTGCCCGGGGTATGGGCATTGGCCTTGCGCCGAAAAAAGCTGAGGTCGGTACGAGCTTCGAGATAGGCGGTTTGGTTAACGATGCAGGACGCACAGGGCCTGAGCAGTTCCGGGGCAGCCAGGACAGCGGAGAGGTGACATAGGAGGTCGGCTTTGGCATGAGGTCCAAGAGTGCTGCTGGCAGGAGGCCCGCGAAGCAGGCACGGACAGACGGGGGCCTGGGCGCGCAGCAGCGGATGATAGATGGAGGAGCGCCAGATGAGCTGGGGTGTATGTCGAGTGTGCAGAACTTGAACTTGGAAGGTGGCACCAGCATAGCAAGATTTAGCGGGGGCTGGTACGAGCAGCAGCTCGGACAGGTCACTGTGCAGCTTATGCCCTGGGCTTGGCGTGGGGCTCGAGGAGGGGCTGGGTAAGGGGGTCTGGGGTTCGTGCAGCGCTGGCAGACCGTGGCGGGAGTGATGACAGGCTTGAAACCGGTCGCGATCGGGTGGGGCCAGAGGCATGGTCGGAGCCATGATGGTGGTGGGTTGCCCACGACTGGGATCAGCGGCCTTGGGTCGTGGGCTGGGAGAGATGGGATCGCCAGCGGCTTCGAGCACAAGGGTGGCGGTCATGGGTTTTAGAACAAGATGGGGGGCGCTCAAAAGGACGGAATGCGGGGGGGAGTGCGGGGAGGCCACCGCCGTCTGATTTGGTCGCGCTGGGCCCTCGAGTGCGGCGGGCAGCGAAGCGACGGGTGGTGCTGGGGTTGGGGGTTGGTTGGAATCTGCGTCTCGGTCGGGGGTCGGAGCGGCTTGTGTGGGGTGCGGGCGGGGTGGAATATCATCGTCTGTGCCGCCCATCACGCCGATGGCCGCATGTGGAAGGCAAGCATGAATATGGCTCGTGGCAGCGGTGGCTACTATGGTGATGGTCGGGCCACCCCTCGCGCGCACACACGTGATGCCTCACTCAACTGAACGTGTGCATGCGTGCGTGTGTGTGTGTGTGTGTGTGTGTGTGTGTGTGTGTGTGTGTGTGTGTGTGTTTGCGCGCCGAGCAAACAAATTGATTGCAGAGGGAGCAGAGCCCAGCTCAGGGCCGTTCCAGAGGGAACACAGACGAGCTCGCATCAATTGAAGTGTGATGATGGACCGTCGTGTGTGTCGGTGAACACAGCAACCGGCTGCAGCGGGTTCAGAGAAGATGGATTACAAGCAGAACCTGATAAAGCGATGGCCAATGGGAATGGAGAGAATTGGGTGATGATGGATTTAAAGGTACCTCCAGAGGTACATGTGTGGATGTTGTGGGTGCACAACATCACCGCGTTTCCACTTTATGTAGATGATACAGGGCTTTTAGTTGATATCATGCCAAACGCTAACTAAGCTTGTGCTGGTAAATATCGAGTTTATATCGCACCGTATCGGGAAGGGGTTGTCATGACACTGGTTGTGTTTGTCAGATGATAATGTCAGCATATTGTTTGGGACGAAAAAGGATGACAAGTGAACGAGACTTGAACCCTCTGCAGTTTTGGTGACTTTTTTAAAAGGATGACAATCATCCAAGCCGGATTTATGCGTTCAGGCCTATTCATCCCTTTGTGTGTTGTTTCGTATCGACCCTTCCAGATAGATGGTGGCGGACCTTGTTGCTCACCCATAGCACCATAGCAAAATGGCTGCTGCCCCAGCGCAAATGGCAGCCGTGGCGTGTTGCGCCCGAGCGTGTCGCTTTTGGTCCGTTCATTTGTCCATGACCTTTTTGAGCTTGCCGTTGATGGCCGGGCCTGCACCAGGTGGCTCTTTGGCCGCACTAGAGCCAACAATCCTGACCGTCGTCGTCACACCTATATGCAACTGTACGAGGAGATATGCCTTGCCATGGCCACACTTGTGTGTGCATACCACCGCTCCTAGCAGGAACAATAAGCAGTCGAAAGAAGAGTCAAAATTCTGAAGAGACGGGGCGGGATTTTTGTGGCTTTACGTTTTGGCCTTTTCTTGTCTCACTACTGATTAACTGGTAACGCCCCCTTCACCCAGTGCGCCATAAGCAAAAGCTCTGCTTTCAATGGGGGCGAGTTGGTTGATCGCCGTGAGCCGGCTGCCCTTTTTAGGATCGATCCGCCGCTCCATTGGCTGGGGGATCGTCGTGTCCAAAGGGTCTGTGAGATGGTGTGTCTTTGGTCTTCGTGGCCCTTCCCTCTTGCTCCACTCAAACTTCGGTGCAGGGTTATGGAAGATAGATGTGTGGTAGAGTGTGAGAGAGAGAGAGCGAGAGAGAGAGAGGGAGAGATGAATTGGTCAGAGAGAGTGAGAGAGAGCGTGACAAGAGGTGAGACAAAGAAAGAAAGAGATTGAGAGAGAGAAACAAAGAGAGACAGAGAGAGAGAGAACGACGAACAAAGAGACAAAGCAAAGTCCACCAGTAGGCAAGTTGTAGCTTTGGAGGTGTCATTTCCTCTTGGTTAGTGGCTCGGTCGGCGCGCGCTTCCGTCTCTCTCTGTCTCTCTGTCTCGGTCTCTGTCTCTGCCTCCCTTGGCTCTGGGTGCCTCTTCCGTTTGGTCTGGCTGGGTCTGTGTTGGTCTGCCTCTGCGCCATGTCGTTCGGTCTTGGTGGCCTGCTCGCGCTGCTGTGTGGTGGGGGCCCGTGGTCATGACGGGCAACTAACTGGCTCGGGCATGAGCTGGTTCTCACTGCCATGGTGTCGCCCACTGATACTACAAGTGCTGCGCTGCACTTACACACTGCACTGCTTGCGCTGGACGGACGCTGACGTGGGCAAGGCAGTCAGGACAAGGACAGCGACGTGGCTTTTTTGAGTGATCCCGCCACGGGGTAACTCGATGCCTCTTGTGATGGTTGTGTGGGAATTTGCCGCGATCACTTCTTGTTGACCTCTTGGCGATGCCCTTTTTGTCTTTTCTTTTGTTTTGGTCACCCAACACTTGATTTTTTTTTTCGTTCGTTCGTTCGTTCGTTCGTTCATTTTGTTCTCTTGGAATGCCTTGCCTTGGTTTTGGGAGCGCGATGTGGCGTTCGTCCTTTTTCAAGAAGAAACTCATCTTGTTGCCTCCCCCTTGCTCCCTTGCCCTCGTAAATGTAGATTGCTGGACAGCTCGTGTGTTTTTCCCTTCCTTTTTTTTTTTCACAACCGCCATCATGCCCCGGAAGTCTGGCCCCGTTCCCGCCGCCCCCAGCGGTGCCCCCGCTGCGGCTGAGCAGTTTGACATGGTCTTCCACTGCCAGCTGGCCCACGGCTCTCCGACCAAGCAGGTGCGCGACTTTACCAACGTCAAGCAGCTGTACGAGTCCATCGCCAAGGCCTTTGGCATCCAGACCTCTGAGGTGAGTCCAACAATCATCTTTCTTTTGTGCTCTCCTGATCAGTGACCATCACCCATGCCCGGAAGCGGGGGGGAGGGCAGGACCAGCCCCAAAGGATCAGTCCACATCCGTTTCTTGACACGCTTTTTCTCCCAAGAGATCAAGCGAGCAAGGGAAGGGGAGAGGGTTATCCCATCGTTTTAATTCATCTGCGAGGCCTAACAGCCCCGTGCATGCACGAGGAAGAAAAGACCATGAAGAAAAGACCAAACAAACAAAAGCATTTAAAAGCTGCATTCCTGTTGATGCCCGGCTTATATCTTATCGCTACCTTTTGCGCTGCAAATAGATTCTGTACTGCACTCTGAACACGCACAAGGTGGACATGACCCGCCTTTTGGGCGGTCAGATTGGTCTTGATGACTTTCTGTTTGCTCACGTCAAGGGCACCGAGAAGACCGTCAAGGTCATCAAGGATGGCCCTGCCCTCGGCCTCACCATCTCCGACAACGGTGCTGGTTACGCCTTTATCAAGAAGATCCGCGAGGACAGCATCATGGTTGGTCGTTTTTTCTTTTCTTTTTCCCCCAATGAAGAGGATCCGCGCCTAAATCTTTGTTCTGTATTTTCGTCGTGCTCATCGTCCTGGCTTGTCCGATCTTTTTCCCTTTGTGTAGTCGCGTGTCGCCAACGTCGCCGTCGGTGATCACATCGCCAAGATCAACGGCACCGACCTCAACGGCTGCCGTCACTTTGAGGTTGCCCGCATGCTCAAGGAGATCCCCATTGGCTCGGAATTCACCATGATCTGCGTTGAGCCCAAGAAGTCGTTTGACGAGATTGCTGGCCGTGGCGCCAAGCCCGCTGGTGCTCAGCCCAACGTTGCTGCCAGCGCCGGCAAGAAGACGCTCCGCATGAAGCACAACGGTGCCGCCGTCGTCGAGGATGTCCCCTCGGATGCCGTGTCGGGTATCATCACCAAGGTGGACGACCTTCTCGAGAACTTTGTTGGCATTCGCGATCAGGAGCTCTCCACCACCATTTACGATCTGGCCAAGGCTGCTCCTTCGGATGATGTCTTCGCCGGCTCGCTCGATGAGCAACTGGCTGACTTCGAGTTCCCCGATGACTTTGTTCTCGATGTGTACGAGCTTGTCAAGAAGCAATAGATGACTCCTTCTCTTCGAGACCATTCTTCTTTTTTCTAGCCTGCCCTTGGTAGTGTCTAGGTACCCTCTACCGTGCGTCGGTTCAGGTTCAAGATTTGTATTTTCGACCCTGTCCTTCCTCCCCTTTACCTACTCTTTTTCTATTCCACTTTTTTTTTTTTTTTTTTTGTCATGTTTTTGCCTGTTCAGGTGGTGGTCAGCAGCGCTTGGGGGCACCAAGCAACATGATACGTCAGACTGAAACACCGAGTATGAGTCATCGGCCGCGCATGCGTGAGCCATGATTTGCTCTTTTGTTTCTTTTTGGTGTTGTGCTTCTGGTGTTCATACCTCGTGTATGCTTATCCTGCTTGGCGGTCGTTGGTGGCAGCGCCCCACCCTTGGCCCCCAGCTTGTTGACTCACTCCCTGTCAACCAAATACAACCTTGATCGTGTGGGACCTTGCCTTCTTGTTTCCTGTGACCTCTCCCCTCTCTCATCTTGAACAATAAAAAAAAAAAGAAACAATTTAAACCAGCATCAATCCCCACCCCCTCCTCTCTCTTGCTGTTAGTCTCAACGCCAGGCGGCTCTGAGCAGCAGTGATGGTGAGTGCTACTACGAGTCTGGTTGGTCAATGGAGCAATATACCTTTTCAACTCGGGGACACAAAACAAAACTCTCGGCCATAAAATCACGCGTTGCGCAAATGTGGTGGTTGATACTCAATCCCCAACCACGCAAAGATATCATATTCATCCAAACACGGTACCACAAACCCGGCAAAGGTCTTGGTATTGGCGTCCTCTCGATCTCGTTTGACTGCCACCATGAGATGGCGCTGCGAGCAGAGCCATGCCAAATGCCAAGTCAATGTTGAGCACACATAGTAAACCTGGGGTGGATTGACCGGTTCCAGTCGAACCTGATTGAGGCTCCAATTTGCCTTGCGCGCCAAAAGGCGCATGGAACGGTTGAAGGTGCCCGAGCCCGCAAAATACAGCGCCGCGCAGGCCCACTCGTGGGGCGGCAAGACAATAAAGTCGACACGTCTGACGACAGCCAATCGGACAGTGAGGCCGATCCCACCAGAACATGGAGAGAAGATAGAGAGAAGACGTCCTGCTCAATACACGGGCTACGCTGCACACTCGAAAACCATACGAACCGATGGAGACCTCCGCGTAGGCGAGCCACGCCCATATATTTGCTGCAATGACACAGATGGGACGTGCGGTCGATCAAAGGTGGTAAAAAAAGCAAAAAAACAAAAAAAGCGTGAAGAGAAAGGGCATCGAATTCATCGCCAGCCTGCTCAATACCGTTACGGCTGATGTTAGTGAACTCACTCAATGTAGTCTCGTGCTTCGGCATCGTCATCATCCCCACCGTAATCTGTAGTGCCCGTCGAAGCGGCGTCTACTGTTGTCAGGTCATGGGTCAAAAAGTTGGTTGCCTTGAGCGCATGCAGCAACGGCGCCAGCAGGTGGGGCACGCGGCGAGGATCCCCATGGGTGAGAAGAAAGTCGACATCCCCGCACGTCTACCAGTGAGGCCATATGCCACGGAAAGAGCATGCGTTAAAAGATCATCGAGTTCTCGCTAATGGTCAAAAATTCAGCCCAGCGGCATCACAGCAGAGCTGCGCGATGCCGTTTCAGTCAGCGGCGCAGTGCAGCGCAAGGCAGGGCTAGTACCTGTCGTCCCCGAGTGTAAGATCCCGAAGGCAGCACCACAGCGTCAGCATCGATATCTCGGAGGGTGCTAGTCACCAGAGTCACCATGTCGTCCACTTCGCTGCGCGGTATGCGTTCCTGCAAATCAGCAAACAGCTCGACGCCAATTCGTTGCGTAGGCGAAAGGTTTCGCCACTTCACGAGTTGTCCCGCCACAACGGTGCATGACAAGTGCACGTGAGTACAGCGAATATTTTGTTGTGAAAAGCACTTTTGACAAGCCGTCGCACAAGAGCTGAGAGCTGAGTGCGCACCATGTCGGGTTGACGCAGGTCGTCCAGCGTTCGATGCCCTGCACTAGCGAGTTGCTCCGCCGTACGGGGTCCAATGCCATGTACCTAAACCCCAGGCGTGTCAAGGCTCAGCACAGTCAGGACATGCCAAAGAAGGCCGGTCAAGCCAAGACGCGCCAGACTTGACCTTAGCAAAGAGGCGTTGGGCTTGGATTTTCTCCGTATTGGCATGCTCAAGGCGCTCCAGCGTTCCTGTTTCCAAAATATCCTCAATCTTGCGAATCGTCTTGGCACCGATAAAAGGCAGGTCCTCCAAGCCATCAGTCGTCGTAATCTTGGTTCGCACGCCACGTAACTGGGTACCAAATCACACAGACAATCATTGACGTCAGGGCGGCCCCGTTTCCATTCTTTTTGTTTTTGCTTTTGCGACACGCCTCAATTCGAGTCTCGCTCGCCCCCTGCCTTGTCCGCGACCGACGCACCATGGTGATCGTGCGCTGCGTTTGCATGGCCTTCATTTGGCCTTCCTACGTGATTTTCACACCAAAAAAAAAGGCGGATTGGGGCGGTGAGCTGTGTTTGCTCCCTCCGGTCCGAACATTTGGCTGCACAAGCACAGGCCAACCTTATCAATGCGGGGGTCGTAGAGGAGCTCTTTCATGTCTTCCAGAGCTGACAAGATGTGTACGTTGGGGTTGGGAGCCGCATTCAGGTCGTGATCACGGGCGCAGAGGAATCTGTGACAGAGTTGAGACAGATCAGACCCATCAGGCGTCGCTGTGCGCGGACCATACAGGAAAATCAGAGGGTAACACAAAAAGGAGAGGATACCAACTTGCTGCGCATGCGGGCTGGCACCTCCCGAAAGGTGCCTGGTGGTAGGTTGGTGTTAACCCAAGCACATGTGTGTAGCTGGAAAGTGTTGCCATGTGTGCCACGCAATGGCTGTGGGCAGGTGCGGGCACTGTGCTCACGCTGGCCACAGTTGTAGCAAAAGTACTGGCGCACCGCCAAGCGCTGTGGAAAGCTTCGCTCGTAGGCGTCAAAGACAGTGGTCCAGGGTAGCCTTGGGCGAGGTTCCTCTGGCAGACGGCTGCTCCAATAGCCAAAGGGTCGACCAGACCCCTCTACAGCGCGCTCCAGCTCCCGCCTGGCAATTGCAGCGGCTCCCGTGGCGCCCTTGGCGAGGCTGTCCTGCTGGTCGGCCCGCGCCAACTCGCGCGCTGCGGCTTCGGTGGGCAGTAGACGCGAGGGAGCATACTCAAAGCCGGCAAAAGGCAAGCGTGCCTGAGCTTTAAGGCAAGACTGGAACCAAGTGCGACGGACCATGGTGGGCGGCGCACGCGCCAGGGCCTCTGCATCCAGCTGGCGCGTCGCATTCCGCTCACCGACGACCACCACGAGCTGCGCTAGACGGGGCCGAGTCATCGTGAGCGACGGCTACATCGTCCATCTATCGTTTGCCCATCGTTCGCTGGTGCCCAACACGGCAGGGATGCACCGTACCTGAAGCTGCTCGGGCAACGGCGCACTCAATATATCAGCTGCGGGGACGTCGGGCACCACCGCACCATTGGCGCGAGCACGCTTGACTAACAGCCGGGCGTGCGCCTGGGATTCGCATGCCGAAGGGGCAAACCAAAGCGCCAG